TACAATAGCTATCGGCCTATCGCATCAATTGCCTTTAAACTTCTTCAATAATTAACTGATACTTAATAAGTTTAACTAAGTTAATATTCGGAACAACCGGAAGTCGAGCGCTTTGTTTTATTGGATTCGTCTCAGCTTCCTTAAAACTAAGTTTAACCAGGCCTTACTCACGTGAAACATATCAAGCTGATTTATTCTCCTAGAAATGAATAATTAGGGCGTTTGCTAAACCGTTAGACGCCAACTGTTACACATGACATACCGAGGGGTAAGACCGTTGTACTACCGTAATTGATGCTGTACACCTCCGCGAATCCTAAATAAGGTACCAGGAACAGAGTAACACGTAGTGTCAGAAGATGGTTTCTATTTGTCAAAAAATAAGTGTTTCCTAGATTCTGCCTGTCCACTGGGTCGTACAAATAATGCGTTTATGTCATGTTACTTGTAGGGTATCGGTGGCTTTTGTTTCAATTACTTGGGTGCTCGGACAACCTGCTGACTAACCTCTGTTACTGTTAGAAGTGTCAGACCTATAAAAACTAAAACACTTTTACAAAAAAAGAGCGTTTTTGGTTTGGGATCTTTCCAGCCATATTTGATACAGTTGTGTTTCAAATTTCTTGTACCTATTTATTCTTTCATCCATTTGTCTAAAACAAGTTCTGTAAAAGATCATCTATAGTGGCTACGTTTAATGCTTGTCCCAGAATGTGATAAAAGTCACCGTGGATAAATTCTCCATTTATCGCAAGTTTCAACCCCATTTATCGCAAGTTTCAACCCCTTATCCTCTAGTTATTATTTTCTTAAGCAGACTGTTAACTGTTGACTGCAACCCTAGCAATGGCAACCTCTACATGTATTCCGAATGCAGATTGCAGATACTCCAATAATTGTTATTATTGTAAAATAGAGGTGGCCAAGCAGACTAGTCCTACAAGGGCGTACCTGTGATAAACTCTGCCTGCTCACAAGTATTTTCACACTACACACTGTACTCACTCAGCCGTATAGCGACCAATAATGGCAACCTCTACATGTATGATAGCAGATACTCCAATAATTTGTATGCACGTTAATATTGTTTTAGATCAGTTCATTTAACGATAATTAACATACCAAAGTTGTGAATAACAGACTAAAACACGAATGTCACAACTTACATACTTACCTGTCAATATCTGTAAACGTTCGTTTCGCAGCATTCCAGGGTTGCATGATACTGATCTCGACGAGTTGGTCTAAATTGCCGAGTCTCTTTAAATTGCTTTCACTTTTTAAGTTCCCGCATGCTTTTTTTCGAATTCATAGACGATTCATTCAAAAATAAAGTACTTTTACTCATATTTAGATTTATAATTGTATGTAAAGCAGATAAACTGTGGGTATGATAGTAATGCCTCCCACCAGGCAGTTGAAGCCTCAATGAGTCTTAAAAGAATTAGTGGAGTCGTCTCCGCACCACCCTTTTTAATTTATCCAGGCTGATTCTAGTGAAATCAGCCTGGATAAAATTAAAAAGGGTGGTACGGAGAAAGATATGCTTCGAAAAGTGTTAATGTTATTCTATATCTTACGATTATTGCTTATAATGGTTTGCTTGCAATATCGATATTGATTAGGTAGCACACTTGTAATGTTTGTTCGTGTGGATATTTTGCTTTTATGGATGTCCATTTAAAACAGAACCTTAATAACTTTCAAGGATATCCTTTGGTTAGTGACAAAGTTTATCTTATAGATGAATATCTCTATAGAGCAGACAATTTACTAGACGTCAAAACTCAAAAGTGAGGCAAATTTTAAAACCATCTGTTATAAGGCACAAGGCAATAGGCAATTAGGCACCCATATAAAATGCATCTTCACATTTTGGTAACTTTTAACGCAAATGCTCTTTCATCTATTTCTTGGCTGTTTATCATTTGAAACATTGTTCAAATGAGAAATAGAAGGTCTAATTTTCACGTGATCCTTGCATGATCGCGACTGCCAATTATTTAATGGGCCAATTTTAATTATAAAGACCCTCCTGGATGACATTGCGGCTCAAATAAAGGCAAGGACGCCAGCGGTGCAAGGATTGGCTTGTCTGTAATTTGTTATCCAAAGAATTTATTAAAACAATTAGAATTACGGAAGTTTAAGGAACCATTCATCCTCCATGAAATTAGCTGCCCGGATTGATCACGGCATACCAGGACGGGAACATAGCATACAATTAAAGAGCTCCAACTTCACAATGGCAGATCTGCATGATAATAGCTTGGTCATCGATTATAAAGGAGGCATCTATGCGATGAGTCTCAAAGTAGACTGCACACGGCATATTGTTCCAATCTGCAAACGTACGGCATATTATCACTTCATTGTGAATCTATCTCTGCATAGTCCTGAATAATATGTAAGAGAGCATATTATGTGCCTTAAGTGGGACATAATTTATTTCACCGAAGGTTTCCTTGATCCGTCTGAATGAGAACATGTGTAAGTTTCAGTAATCAAAAATGTGAAAATTCACAAATAATTCATGGGGTCTATGATCTTGGTATTTTGACGGAAGCGTTTAACACTGCCACATGGATTCGGCCACTCAAAGGAATCAACGGGGACACGTTTTAATTGAACTTACCCACACAATGTATGTCCAACATGCAAACTGGCCACGATCAGAGATGTTACCTACCACTCCACTCATTTCCATGAGGATCTTTTCAATTTCCATACATTCATAACTCCACTTTATCTTCTTTGTAATTCCACATTATTGCACTAACCCTGCACAGTGAATCTCTTTGTCCCTCCTCCGGGTTCCCCCTTAACACTCAAGTGCTGCACCTGGAACAGTTTTGGTTTGTGCAGCATCATAGCTTGTGCTTTGTATAATATGTGCCATCAACATTGTCTGCTCGATCTCTCAATAACGATTGACAATATTTTATTTTTGCACTGAGTTAGTTTTGAAGGACTCGTCTGGTTAATCGTTCTATAATCGGCGCAATCAACGTGAGCAAATATTTGCTTACAGTATTTGAATTCCAGGAAAGTGTTACAAACGGTAGCGACAAGCGAAACATTTTAGTTTGTAATCTTTTTATCATAGGTTAAAGTAGGGATAGGAAATGGTCGCAACTATCCGTACGACTGCAATATTACTTGTTGAAAGATACGATTAACAGTCAATAACGTGTTATTTACGCTTGTATCAGGAGGCCTCCACTCCAATTTTACTAATGCAGAGTAACAGAGTGTTTTAGATTGATAGGATGTTGTCACGTTATTACTTGTTTCATTATCAGAATTGGTCTTTAGGAAGAACAGCACCCCTTCTTCTCTGTCAACAAGCCATGCAATTTGGTCTTTTCCTGTCGATAATTGGCGCTATCGTGATAGGGTGTTAGCTTGTAATTTGAAATTAACAGCTTGCAATCAATTTAAATTCGGCTTGGAGACTCGATGTGTTGTCTGCTTTGGCAATATTTGGTGTAATTTAAATACCAGTAATTATATACCAATATTCAAACATATTTCACATTCATTTTCTCTTAAAGCAGGAAAATGACGATCTCCACAACGGAGATAACATTTTTCCAGACCTGTGCCTCGGTAACGTTTTTCCTGGGAGTCCCCGCCAACACCCTAGTACTGATCTACCTGCTGTGGGGCAGCAAGTACCACTGTCGCATCACACACAATCTCTTCACCTTCATCGTAACTACAGATCTGCTGTTCTCCATCACCGTCAGTCCCTTTGCAATCCAGCAGATAGCGGGAATCCAGCTGTACTCGTCTGAAAACCAAGCCTTTTGCGAAGTGTTCGAACTCTTCTTTAACACTCTCTCCCGTATCATTTACTTCTGGATGTCTTTGTTAGCAGTGGTGCGAGCCAGGTCTATCAGGAACCCTTTGTCGCAAATTACCAAACTGGCCATACGTTGTTTCATGCTGGGCACCACCACATTCTTTGTCTTGCTGTCCCTGGTACCCCTTATCATCAGACAAACAACCGAGAAGGCATTCTGTGGGGGCAAACTGGAGGACACTTTCCAGAACAAGGTAGTGAGAACACTCTGGGTAGGGCTGGGTACCCTGCTGCCCTGTGCACTTTCTGTAATCGTGATGTTGTGTGCTAACTCTACCTCCCTCTACTACCTGCTCCGGGTGAAGTCTGAAGCAGCCAAGGCAAACAAAAGGAGTTTAAAAACGAAGAAGACAGCTGCAAAGACCACTCTTGTTCTGACCACTATCTTCTTCTGTCTTCACATTATCGGGGTAGTCAAGAGTTGGGGTAGGCTTCTTGGGGTGGACATTCACGTGGGCGGGTTCTATGCTAATGGCCTCATGATTCTGTCAGCAACCGTGGATCCTTTTGTTTACTTTTTGAAAACCCCGGCTGTGTGGATTTATTGGAGGGGAGTGTGTTTCAATAGACAGTTTTCTCGGATGAGAAGGTACTCTTATAAGAGGTTCGCACCCTTGACAGTTAACTACGAAGACAGAATGACAACGGTTTGTGAGGACACAAGGATGACCATGGTGATGGCGACTTTTAGAACTGTTGCTGTAAATTCAGCTCCTAGTAGTTTGAGGGGCTCGATGCCAAATACTCCAGTCAAAACTCGCTCAAACGTGGAGGAAGAAAACTCTAATTAAGTAGAGACTATAGAATATGTACCATTTGTGAGAAAAATTTAGATGGAAGGACTTCTTAAGTAACAAACAATGCCGCATAGAAAGTGGGCTTTTAGTATTCTTATTTCTTATCTTTAATAATTTGCTGAAATAGATTGATTAATATTTCATGATCCAACAAATTACTCAGAGTTCCTTGTTAAAACCATGAAAAAAACGCCATAAGGAAACCAGAATCATGAAACTCTGTTCTTCGGTCAATTAGCCAGTTAGTTTAGAAGTGAAAGAAAGTAATCATGAAATCAAATTAAATACATCTCATCTTTATCCTTTTTAGAGCCACACATTCAACCCCATCTCTTCAGGCAGAGTTGGAAGCAGGGCGGATGTACATGATAGACACGAACATGCTAGAAGTAGTAGGAGACGGGGGTATTCTCATGCCAATCCTAACAGGGTTCTCTCTACCCATGATCGTGTCTCTCGGTGACTGTCTCTATTATCACGACAGGGTGGCAGACACTCTGAGACCCGTTGCTATCAGGTTAGTCGGTTAGAGCACGTGACGTGCTCAGCACGTGTTCTGTGACTGCATATTTTCTGAGATTTATCAAAAGTATCACTGGTATATCAGGTAATTGGCCCAAATTTACTGAATCAACTCTAACACTTGATATGCCAGTAATTTTGTTTTTTAAATTCCTCAAAAATTACAATTATCTACTGGCAAACCAATAAAAATGTTTTCATATTAATTTCCTAATACAAGGTAAGCGACTTTGTTGATCCCGTGTGAATGAAAACCAAAATGTCTACTAAATTAGCATCATTTTACCAGGCTGGAATACAAGAACGGGGGAGAAGCACCAACTTTCTGGTTTCCACCCAAACCATCAGACTCAGAGATATCTCCCGAGTATCTGTCTTGGCTTCAAGCCAAACTTTACTTCAGATCTTCAAATATGCAGGTTTAATTTCACTTTACTTTATTACTCAGACTAATTAATTACTCCAAACTGTTCTAGATAAAACTAGATGTTATCCGCTTTAAGAACTAACACGTCCCACTCTGTTCGACAGATTCACGCTATCCTGACTCACTTTGTTCGGGCTCATGCTGTGGTTGAGGTGTTTGCTATTGCCATGTACCGCTGTCTACCCAAACAACATCCCCTACACAAACTCCTCCAGCCTCATCTGATGGGCGTCATCCCAATTAACGTGCAGGTAAACTATCATTAAGATAGAAGAATAAGATACGAATAAGTTATCTCTGCTAACTGTTGTTTCGCTGGACCAAAGTTAATTTAGGGTATGTCAAGATTTGTTTTGCGACTCTACAGTTCCAATCTACTTAACCCATCAAAGTTTAGACCATAGAATGTAGATTAACATAAAAACTTACCTATCAAGATGATTAATAAATCACAAACCATACGAATGGTAGTAGTTAGTACAGAATGGACTAGAATTAACTTAAGGTATTTGAAGATATGTGTTCTCAATCTCTTGCTGTCTAATTCACTATCTGCAATCTGCATCAGACTGTACCTCAACGTTATGGATCTTGACGTGTCTCTAATTGTAGTACCAAGCCTGCCTGCCTGATCGCCTAGTCATAAAGTTGTTGTAGAAAGCAGAGAGGTGATGACTACCTGAAGGTTCCATGACAACTCCGAAAAAAAGCAACGTTGCAATTTGTATCACGTTTTATAACATAATGTATGAACGACTGTTAATTTTCTAACCCGCTTTTACCACCTCTGCTTCGTGTGTGGGCTTCTCTTTCTGTTTTGGAGTATGGGCTAAATCTTAGAAAAAGAGAGTTCCCACGGCAGTAATTAGTAAAATAGTAGCTTCCTGTTAAGAAGCACTCAGTAGATCGGTAGTTACAACTACAGCGAAGTAGTAACTAGTTGTACCACACAGTGCCTAGATTTTCCCATTTATAAAGATCTATAACATTCTCAGCTGTAACATTGCATAACAGAGAAAGGCTCCTGTGCTTTGCTCGGTCCGGTAGTGTATAAACAATATGGGCTACACTCTCAGATATTTCCACATTCCATTACAAAACACTACCAAATATGTGTGAAATATGTGTACTTTGTAGTCGGGATCATTAAATATGAAGAGTTACAAGGACCTACTATACGTGACCTGCTGGATATTATAAATTCTGTGAAGAAAAAAAAATAGTGCACTTGGTTTTTGGGATTCGAGGATAATATTTTGACCAGTTAAAGAGATGACAGGGATAATGAACCTGAAAATAAACGCAGCTAATAACATCGACAACACTAAATAAACTGACCAGGGTCGAGAGTTCTTGACGAAGAGTACCGGAGTGATGGCAGCTCTGATGGCATCAGGAGATAAGTTGTGGAGTCTGGCTGATGTGTTCATGAAACAGTTCCGCTACGAACACCTCCTTCACCCTGAGGACGTTAAGAGGGTAAGTGAACCTTAATCAGTCACCTCACGACGAGGGGTGTATTACTTCATAAGCTTTAAACAGTAGTTAAATATGTTAGTTTCTCTTGATGAACATAGCCACTCAATCTTCATCATGTTATATGTTAGTTTCTCTTGATGAACAAAGCCACTCAATCTTCATCATGTTTTATTGTCCATGCGGATCTAACTTTGTAAGCTTTAATTGCGTGTTTGGTTATAAATTCAATACAATGCATATAACTGGATAATTTAACAGAACAATTTACTTGGAACTCTGTAAATGAACAGCACTAATGAAATTTCGGTTAAACCTAGATTAGTTCAACTGTTTACTTGTAACTTTGTAAGGATGAGCACACACAAATCTATTATTTTCAAGATGTTCAAAATAAAGGCTCTTACTCAGCTATTTCCATCTATTAATACCCCTAACCCTTCTTACAGCGTGGAGTTGAGGACATACCCAACTACCACTACAGAGACGATGGCATGATGTGGTGGAACAACTTAAAACAGTACTGCGAGGAGTTTATTGCTCTTCACTACACTTCTGACGAGCTTGTTAAGGGGGACTCTGAGCTACAGAACATGGTCGATGAGGTGAGTCACGTGGGGGGGGGAGAGAGAGAGAGAGAGAGAGAGAGAGAGAGAGAGAGAGAGAGAGAGAGAGAGAGAGAGAGAGAGAGAGAGAGAGAGAGAGAGAGAGAGAGAGAGAGAGAGAGAGAGAGAGAGAGAGAGAGAGAGAGAGAGAGAGAGAGAGAGAGAGAGAGAGAGAGAGAGAGAGAGAGAGAGAGAGAATACACTGTAATACAAGTACTTGTCTGAAGAATAATTAGCAGATTATTCTAAATCATGATTTCGATGACATAGTTAGGGCAAGAGTTGATTTTTCTGTGAACAAATTCGTAACAAAGGTTTGTCTACAGGAATGTGTTGTCCATAGTCCCAGGAACCACCAAAAAAAACCGTCCAGCTGAAACTTTTGGGCAAAAATTTTTATAGTCATTTTTCTCCAGGAACCCATACGCCCCACCCCTAACATTGGTTATTCGGCTCCCGAAGGTCTTGAGATCTCCATAGGGGGTGCAAAATGACCGCAATGGCCACACTATGGCAGGCGAATGATAGTTTCAGAACGATTGGAGCTTTATTTTTCGAAATAAATGGAATTTTTCGAAATTTTTCGAAATTTTATTGAAATTTCGAAAAAAATACACCAAATTATTTTTAACGCTTATTTCAAATCTTACTCGGGAAATAACTTCAATTAACAAATATCAAGGTTAACTAACACACAACAGATTATTGACCAACCCCCAGACAGCTATTCGACGGTACATACTACTCTGGTTGAATGTCTTAAGTTATCCTACAGTGAGCCGATGATAATCACATTCGATTTGCCATTGTGGATTAAGGCCACCCGAATAGTACTGGAAACTGGGATGCCTATTGTGGTCAGGGTTGGGGGCTTCCACACTCTCACGAGTTTTCTTGGCTGCATAGGCTATATAATGGCAGACTCGGGTTTAGAGGAGCTCATCAAACTCGTGTATCCTGGAGACGTCACGCATATATCGGATGGAGGATCTTACTATAAAGCGTTGAGAGCCCACTTTCTGATCAACGCCGCTCTTTGTTGTTTCATTATAGAGGAAGAAGTTTACGACGATGAACTAGTAGACTTGGAATGTTACATCAACAAATGTGTGAACGAAAATCTAAGTGTTAACTTTAAGACTAAATCTATTCAGGATCTATCAGAGAAAATAACTCTGCTTCTAAAGAACCTGTTTTCCAACAGTAGAACAGCAGCTCTATGGGTTACTTACCACAACATGATAACACTAGTAAAGGACTTCATAAGAGCAGAGAGGTTGCACGACTACAATATAATGCATTTATCAGCAGTAGCTTTGATGCTGCCCTACTTCGCAGCAGCTGGGAGGGGACAGTATGCAAAAGCTTTAAGACTGTATTTGGAGCAGGATGCTATTTTTAAAGTCAAGTATGGGGCGCTTTTAAAGACCTTTAAAGTAACAGGGCTTCACACGGTTTGTTACAACGACCACGAGTGGGCCGGGGTGTGGACTGACCTCTCCATAGAGCAGAGTCTTATGAGGGCAGCTAAATCTAGTGGTGGATTAACAAGTGGAAGGATGCGTAATCGTGAGTCCGCTCACAAGTTATGGGTGGCCACCCTGAATCAGATGGCTTTAATAAATCAGTCTTTTGGAGATTCATTAGCTAATTCATCGAAGCGAGGAGTACCAACTAAAGCTGCCATCCACTCAGATCTTACCAAGTCATCAATCAAGAAAAACTGTGATGTATTTGGAAAATTATTAACTTGGTTTAAAGTTACTGTCGACTTAACAGAATCCGAAGATAAGACTAAGTTAATATCTTTTTCGACTGGTCTTATATCACAGCCTGGGAACGATGAGGTGAATCCCGAGGAATGTTTGGCCGTTGGGGCTGTCCTTCAACGTGAGCTAGATGGGTTGACATTCATCGATAAGATAAGTATCAAAGGTAAAGCAAAGAACTTGACACAACTAAGAAAGCAGGTTAAAGTGAATAATAAAAGCGTTGCAGTCGATCCGTTGAAGTGTTTTAACCGTCTAGTCTTGGTTGCTGATAGAGAGACTTCAATAGAGGAATGCCTAACATACGAGTTAACTGTGGTGCCGATGAGCTTATTTGATCAATATCAGATGATGAGGAAATCTAATAAGGCTGCTCTTGGTATAAACCAATCTACACTTAAATCTTGCAGCTTCACGATCCCACTAGTCATTGATGGAGGTTGGCTAATTCACCAACAAAGCTCATTTAAAGGGTGTGACAATTATGGTGAGGTAGCAATGGAGTACTTGAAGCTTATCCCTAAAAATCGGGAAGTTACTGTGATTTTTGATGGATATGAGCCTTCTACTAAAGATCACGAGCACGAGCACAAGAGGAGAGTAAAAGCGTTCTGTGCTAATATTGCTGTAAAGGAATCCACCTTTTGTACTGTCACCAAAAGAACATTTCTGAGCAACAACAATAACAAAAAAAACTGATCGACCTTATCTCAAGCATTTTTACTGTAAATGGTATTGAAGTGATCAGAGCTTGTAACGATGCTGATACTTTAATTGCAAAGAAAACATTGGAAATGTCATTCCAATGTTGAATTGAAGGCAGAGGATACCGATATAGTTCAAGTCTATTAGTACATCATTTCAACAGTGACCATCACAATGATATTTATCTAACAACGAAGAAGGGTACATATTCAATCAAAGAAATATCAAGTCATCTAGATCATAAAGAAAAGGAGATACTTCTTCTAATTCATAGTATTTCAGGTTGTGATAGCGTCAGTGGACTGTTTGGTTTTAGCAAGGTTAAAGTGCTAAAGAAAGCTCTCACCTTTGATGAGCAAGGTCAGTTGGCAACATTACTTTCGGTGAGAGAATCAAAAGAAAAGATTATTGAGGCAGGCCTCTGTTTCTTGCAGTACATTTATGGTGACAAGAAAAAGACTCTTTCTGCTTTGAGATTCCTAGCATACAATAGGATGGTAGCGAAAAAGAGTCTCAATCCGAATAGGCTACCTCCAACAATAGCTTCAGCAACGGAGCACATCCTTAGAGCTTACTTACAGTACCATAACTGGGCCATGCTTAACGCTGACAGTCTGAATCCCCTTGACTACGGCTGGAAATTGGCTCCTGGTGGCACTTACGAACCAGTTGCAACAAAAGCTATAATTGCTCCAGAGTCTATTTTGAACCTTATATGTTGTAACTGTTCTGTCGATGTGGAACAGGCCTGTTTGACTTTCAGATGTTCATGTAGGAAATATGGCTTCAATTGTTTGCCAGCTTGTGGACGATGCCATGGTATGAACTGCACAAACATTAGACATGATGAACCTGAAGAACAAGCGAATTTTGATTAATATTAACTGTGTATTAATAATTGTCATGGTATTTACTGAAAATACACATTTTAGATTAACTGTATTTGTTATTTGTAGATGAGTTTTTAAATAGATTTGAAATAAGCGTTAAAAATAATTTGGTGCATTTTTTTTCGAAATTTCAATAAAATTGAGAAAAATTTCGAAAAATTCCATTTATTTCGAAAAATAAAGCTCCACTCGTTCTGAAACTATCATTCGCCTGCCATAATGTGGCCATTGCGGTCATTTTGCACCCCCTATGGAGATCTCAAGACCTTCGGGAGCCGAATAACCAATATTAGGGGTGGGGCGTGTGGGTTCCTAGAGAAAAATGACTATAAAAATTTTTGCCCAAAAGTTTCAGCTGGACGGTTTTTTTTGGTGGTTCCTGGGACTATGGACAACACATTCCTGTAGACAAACCTTTGTTACGAATTTGTTCACAGATTGACCCATAAACAGCAATTCTTGCCCTAACTAACAAGCATCAATCTCAGTGATTATTTACTAGAAAAAAATAAATAAGTATGACTTTTCTGAAAATCGTCTCTTTTTGTGCATACCATGATTCGAGAAAGAAAAAAGCGATTAAAACTTTTCATATGCATCAGTATTGACAAATCACCATTACTCATGTCTATTGTTATTTGTTAATGTAACGAACTGACTAGCTAAACGATACATTTCAGATCAAGAACCAAGGTTACAAACGGCTCCCAGAGCAAGGAGGCTTCCCCGGCTCCCTGGACACGATCGAGCAGCTGATTGAATACACCACCGCTCTCATCTGGAACGGCTCTATCTGGCACACAGCTGTCAACTTCGGGCAGTTCAACTACTTGGCTTTCGTACCAAACGCACCATGCGCCATGACCATGCCTCCACCTCCACAAGACGAGACTATAACCATGGAGAGGATCCTCCTGTCACTGCCGGTAAAAGAGATGGCACGAGTACAGATAGACATCTCCTACTCCCTCTCCCTCTTCTCCCCGGTGGAGAAGTTCTACCTGGGTAGTGTGAGGGAGGAGAAGGAGGACCTGAGGACAGAGACCATGATGGTTGATGAGAAGGAGGTGCAGTGCATTGAGAGGCTTGTAAACAGGCTCACTGATATGCAGGAACATATTGACAAGAGGAACGATGGACTCAAGATGCCTTACATGATCATCAGACCGGATTTGACTCCCCTTACCGTACAAACGTGATGGAAGGACTGTTTTTCTGTTTAATTTTTTTTCTTTCGTGACCGTAACTTGATAAATAAAGCTTTACTAAACTTTGCATGGTACATGGTTTAATAAAATATATTAATATTAAGTTATCTTTGACTGTTTGTACTTGTAGGGTACTTTTGAAATGCGATCATTTATTTCCCATTTCAGACTTGTAAAAGTCTTGATATTTTAACTTTAATTGACAATTGAACATATTTTGTTGCCAAATTATCATTTTATGTCATGTTGAGTTAATAATTTGTTATTACTTTATTCCTGCTATCATTGCACTTCAATAAAAAGATTTTTATTTTTTGTTCAGTTTTGATTAAACGATTTCAAATCGTAAATCACAAAGGGAGATTAAAACGTACATTAACAATTTTAGGTTACAAATTGCGAAATATCCGAAAAGAGATGACTTCAGCGGACACAAACATATCCCAAATTTAATATCATCACAAACCTATTTGTGTCAATTTATCACATTGTCTGACTATCATAATTATAACTTTCATTTTTTTGAGAGTCAATATTTACACGATCTAGGCTATGATAGTCATGATGATATCAATATATTTATGCAATTCTGCTGATGATAAAAGTCATATCCATGATTAAAAACTGGGCTCTGCTTCGGTGGTCCTGTTTACAGTTTAGTTGATTTGAATTGACGGAGTATTTTTATTAGTCAAGCCACGTCTTACATAACCCATGGGTCATCGATTATGGATATGACCATTATATCATGCGCATGTAAAAGCGACCAATCATGTGATAATTTTCTGAGGATAAATCAGTTCTTCTGAAATGAGATCTTTGAACTTGAGGGTGAAGAGGATAATCAGCACTTTGTCTTCAGTTGTGAAAAGAGGGCCAGAAGTCACGTCTTTTCTGCAACATTTCACTGTAAGCTGTCTCTATACTGAGGAATATATACGCATTAAAATCCTGATACACAAGAAATAGTATACATTTAGGTTACTCATGCATATAAATCATAAATGTCACAGGCTCAAAGCTCACCCTCCCACAGATTTAAACAATAAATGATTTAGTTAATTCGTATATCATTATCATGAAAAACCCAGCAGATGTAAAGAATAAGGCTATGTTAATTAATCTCGCTATGTAAAAATGAGCGACACGTGTACAATATCACAGCACAGGATTCAGGATAAGAAGTTATGACAAACATAGGATTTTATCAATGGTAGAATACAAGCTTAGTGCGATACTGAATTCCGCTCATCTGGCAAATCAAACCGACTCATGTTGGTCATTTTTATATTTTGTGGTCATTTTGAAATATATTTTGGGGCTTTTATTTTTACCACAAGATGAGCGCAATTTTGACTTGCACAGGCTGAACTTGTATTCCTAAGAAAAGGAAGTAATTTTTTTGTTAAATAATTTCTAGACACAATCAACGCCTACTTTCTAGCCCTCCAGTCGAACACTGTCAAAATCTGTGAATAATATTACCTCACATATATTTCATTCACAAATACTCGACAAATACTCGACAAATACTCGACAAATACTTGACAAATAGTCAAATGATATAGTACAAATTTGCAAACCGATGGAGGCATAAATAAAGGGTGGAATGAAAACATAACGCTTCAATAATTCACATGTTACCTTGGAATAGTTTTAGTCATGCGTTGAATCTTCAGGAATTCGCCCATCTTTGGTGCCATTTCTTTTTTCTGTTTATGTCCTGAATCAAGAGAATGCTATCTTCTACACTTACCAGCAGCAAAGTAGCCTTGACATACACTAACATACAACTTATGCGAAGTAATAATATTACTAATATGTAACATATTACTATTATATGTACGACGTACGTGCAATCCGTCTCGATTAAAAATATACAATCTCTGCAGACGAAGGGGCACAAATATTTAAACTATAAAATCGATTTTTTTAAACAAGTCGAGAAAATGCAACACACAAACATGAATTTGGGAAGGAATGCTTTACTATAACATATTAACTGCTTAACGGGTGCTCTGTTGTTTTTCCGTATGAAAACGCAGCATAGCAATTGAATTTGAACCACTTTCTGAAAGGTGACTATGCTACAAATAACTTTAAAACAGACAACCCGCCGAGCCATGAGTATCTCAAGCTTATGTATCAGTAAACTAATCGTCTGTACGTTGGTGCTAGACTGCTTTTATGTTCATAAACACAATTGCACACCATTGAAGATATCGCGGGATGACAGGCTGAGCGTCGCCCAGTTAGTAATAGGAGTACGTAGTTCCCCAACAAAGCTAAACCTTGTTTCATTTTTCATTGTTATAAACCCTATATAATATGTAGTATAATAAACATATTTATTAAAACTAATTACAACACTACAAATCTATTACATTTTTTGAGCTATGTAACTTATTGTAACGTCCTGTCCATGACAAAGGCGTGTTGCCGAAACGTCGACAACTAATATGTTTTGAAACACGGAGTGGAGACTCTCACTTCGTCACCAACTATGATCATTAAATGAACATGTTTATTGTTTATTGTTTACATGGAGTATGAACAGATATCCATTGCTACACAAGACCATCTGCAATTTTCAGAAAGATTATTATATTTTAACAAACCAAATTAAAATACATATACAACTGTAAGAAAAACAATACAACTTACCTTACTCGGGAATATTAAAGCGGGTTAATTTATGACTGGGAAAATTAATGACCGGGAAAAATATGGCGGAATTTTCCAAAACCCATCAAGCATCAAAATGTATTACTATTAGTTTACCTTACTCGGGAACATTATAGCGGGTTAATTTATGACTGGGAAAATTAATGACCGGGAAAAATATGGCGGAATTTTCCAAAACCCACCACTTTATCCTAGTTATAATATTCCCGAGTAAGGTAGTTGTATTGTTGTCAACTGTGTGTAAGTTTCACCTTTTCAGCCGTCACTGAACCAACACTCTCATAACCAGTTCAGTCGCTTGGAAAATAGTTGATTCTATTCTTTTTGTGTTCAGGCCTTACAGTTACTAAGTTGGAGAAGAAATTTGGTTTTGGTATTGCATATTGTACATGTACTTCTTGGGCAGCACATTACATGTAAAAATAATAATCACGTATGCTTTATAAGTTATCTCATGCATATTTATTTATTTTCAATTTATTCAGCATGAAGATTTTGGAGATGAGCAAACATAACTTGTTGATATTATCAGTCCTATGACCTATAGGCAATAAGCATATCGCTATTTATTTGATCACTGACGAGTAAATGCGATGAAATTAAAAGGCTTTGCAAAAACATGCGATTCTTTCTTGGATCAAAGAAGCAGCACAAAAATACAATGTTGTGAACTTGGAAAATCTTTAACTTTCATTAAACATTTCAATGCTTCGAAAATCTCTAAATATTAACAAGATATGAATTTCCATCAAGAACGAGGTAGCCGCACAATTAACAAGTTTCGAAATATTTGGCATATTGCGAATTTGCACTCACTAACCATGATTCGAGGAATTAGCTGTGTTTCTGATTCTGGGGAGTAAGATTCGACTCTTCGGGGACACTGGTTGGAAAAATTGTCGAAAGAAAGTTTTAATGATGTTGGAGATTCAATATGAAATAAAATTTGCTTGACAAATCTAGAACAAATCTCGGACCAATCCAGATTCCAACAATTATTCTTGCCAGTAAACGCCAGAAAAGGTCCATTAAAACGGAAACTACAATACAGAAACTAACTCTGAAGTGCAAGGTGGGAACACTCTATTTCTTTCTCGTACTCTTTGTACAGATACTGTTCTGTAATGTATTTACAGACTTGTGGAGCGACAAGTTCCTCAATGGGCTGCTCGTTGGCCACAGCTTGCCGCACGTTTGGTTTGCTCGTGTTTGCGTGGTCTATTATCAGGTGTATATTGTCCTGTGGACAGTGGACAAATTCAACAATCAACTAAATTACTGAATTGCGATGCAATATCACAATGGTGATGCAATATTACGTGAGAAAAATAATTATATCACGTGATAATAGATAAATATAAAATATCATCGAGTGCAATGGATATTAATATTATAATAATATAATGGATATAATATAGCGATACCATCTGGCACGTGACTCACCTCATATGCTGAGAATTTAGCACAGAACTGGACAATGTTGATAACACGATGAGGGTTTGGTGTCACACATACAACATTCTTGTTGGTAATCAGTTCGTCCACCTCACTCTGAAATACAGGCAAAACATAATCATAGTATGTCCATAATATATTATTTTAGTCTTCCAATGGTTGTAGATGCGTAGGTGATCATAAAGATCACCGCTGACTAGCAGTTCTGTGCTCTCACTATAAAAGCCAGGGCTGTGAATCGGAGGTACCCCGCTAGTGCCCCCCTGTCAGTACCTAGTCGAATAAGTCGACCTTAGCCTCTCTGCAACAAGTCCTCCTGATGCCTCCACGTGGTGAAGACTGGATACTGGACGATGGATGGTGGTGAACTCCAGGCAAGAATCAGGATGGACGACGGGTAGATAGCTGACCCCCGGAGAGACAAGATAGGAACGTCAGTTGTCTCTCGAACTCCTAGCCTCTGAAGAAGAGAGGTGCGGAGCATCAGCTGGAGGTGTTGGTCATTATATCCTCTGACTTTCCACTACGACCCAAATGATTGGACCACGCTCTGGTGGAAAGGATGACCCCCCATACCCGGGGTAACGGGCAGTCAGGGAGAGGGCTAGCTCTTGCAAAAGTTTAGCTTATGCTGACACCCTAGCCCCCCTAGCTCAGGGACAGGAGTGGCTACCTTCGGGTAGTGTCGGAGAAGAAGAAGAAGAAGAAGAAGAATTCACCACATCATTTACCCTGAGCAGACAGTTCGATTGGTTAAAGTCTGATAAAAATTTCAACTCAAGTTGATGTTCCTGCAGTTCAAACCCAAATGTTCCGGTAGCGTGGCTTTGGGAAATGACCATTTGCCACCATGGAGGGGACTCCATGGGGTCATTTAGCTATTTGAAAAACAACTATGATGAATTTATACAGCACTAGGGTTAAAGCCCCTAACACGAATCTTGTGGAGGGTCGGCAGTTTTATGACTTGGTTGGCTTAAAACCCAATCTGGGAGAGCCAGGCGATGATGTACTGTCGTACCCAACACAACACAACAGGATAAGTACAGAACCGGAAAAGAAGAGCAGTAATAGTGGCAGCGTTGTGTCGTGTAGTAGGAAAACGTCCATCGGGACACTGAACGTTCGTACTGTTAGGGAACAGTATAAGAGGATAGAGTTAGCATCGCTCTTCCTTGATAGTAGAGTTGCAGTTTTAAGGGTACAAGAGCACCGGATTGTGCATGAGGAGGAGATCAAGATCCAGAGTTTTGAGAAGGGTGTGCACCTGGTGACCACACCTGCTTGGAGAAACACCCGACAAGCTGCTACTGGTGGAGTTGTGTTTATGCTGACCAAGCAGGCCTACAAAGCAGTGAGTCTCATGAAATCGTTTGGGAAGCGAATTTTTCTCATATCCTTTGATGGAAACCCACGGCTTACAGTAATAACGGTGTACAGTCTCACTGAAGCAGCATCAAATGAAGAGGCAGAGGACTTTCACGAGGGACTAAGATCTGCATTAGGAGAGGTGCCAGCCCATCATCTGCTAATGGTTGTTGGTGATCTTAACGCCCATCTTAGCAGATTGAATGAGGAGGATTCAGGTTGGTACTGGCATCGAGTATCCAACAGAAACGGATCGCTTCTCAGGGATACTTTGTTGGAGGGAAACCTTGAGGCAACTAACCACCGATTCCAGAAACGTCCCAGTAAACTATGGACGTATCTCTCTGACGGAACACTGAGCAAGAGTCAGATTGATAACATCCTGATAAGGAAGAAGTGGCGTAACTCAGTCAAGGACACTGTTGTCTCCAATTCTTTTAACTCTCTTGGGTCGGACCACCGTCTAGTAGTTAGTTCAGTCAAACTCAGCCTGCGAAAGTGCCAGAATGCACCTAGAGTAGTAAGATATGACTACAGACTGCTCAAAGAGAATAAGGAGTTGCAAGCCTTGTATTCTGTGGAGGTGAAAAACAGATTCTCTATGCTACTGGAGGAAGAATCTAGTGAGCAGAACGATCCCACGATTCAGTACGGAAAGCTTATGGATGCCGTGAAAGCAACCAATCATAAGTTGCTTAAGCCCATCCCAAGAAGACAACGTAACAACCCCTCCCAAGATCCTAGGGTATCGGAGAGGAGGAGAACTCTGTTTCAGGCCAAAGACGCATATCATGAGAATCCTACAGAGGAGAGTAGAGAGGTAGTTAAGGAGTGTAAGGATGCACTTGCAGTGAGCTACAAAGAGGTTGAGGAGGAGACTCTTGTTTCTCGGATCAGGCGGGCTGAGGATGCTGCTGACAGGTGCAAGAATAAGGAAAGTTGGGACCTTATTAATGACATAAATGGCAGGAAAAGCAAGCCATGCAGCCTGGTTGATGGAGGTAGTGCAGAGGGGAGATTGAAGAGCTGGAAGGACCACTTCACTAAGCTCCTGGGTCAACCACCATCTGTACCTGACCAGGAAATAGTTATCCAAACCATCCACCCCCAGCAGGATATAGAGACTGGTCTGTTTTGCAGGGAGGAGTTAGCGGAGGCGAGGAAGCAGATCAAGGAGGGTAAGGCCTATGGTGATGATGGCATAGCTCCAGAGATTCTCAAAAGAGTGGACATGGACGACCTGATTCTAGAGTTCTGTAACAGCGCTCTGGTTGATGGAAAAATCCCTGATCAATGGCGGCAACTCAACATCGTGCCTGTGCCAAAGAAAGGAAATCTAACTAAAGTGGATAACTACAGAGGAATCGCTCTTACGTCCATTGTTAGTAAGACCCTGAATCGTATGATCCTTAACAGAATCAAACCAGCGATGGAGAAAATCCTGAGGATCAACCAAAACGGATTTCGGGAGGGACGCAGTACCACCAGCTACATTCTGTGTCTAAGGAGGATCTTGGAGGGGGCTAGAGACAAAAACCTGACCGCCCTTCTCTTGTTCATCGATTTTAAGAAGGCCTTTGATAGCATTCATAGGGGTATATTGATGAAGATACTCCTGGCATATGGGATACCAGAGCCCATTGTTAGGCTGATAGATGCTATGTACAAGGACACCATGGCACGAGTCATCACGGAGGATGGTCTGACTGAAGCTTTCCTTATACTTGCTGGAGTTATGCAGGGAGATACACTGGCGCCCTACCTCTTCGTGATTGTCATTGACTATGTGATGACAACAGCACTTAGAGGCAAAGATCTGGGCTTCACTGTCAACCCCAGAAGAAGCAGGAGATACCCAGCAGTTAAGATGACAGATGTCGACTTTGCTGACGATCTTGCACTGACAACAGACACCGCAGAGCAAGCGCAAGATCTTCTCCTCAGTGTGGAGCTGGCTGCTAACTCCGTTGGACTGCACCTCAACGAGAGTAAGACGAAGTACATCAGAGTCAATCTCTCTGAGTCTGACTCTACCGTCATTAAAGCAGCAAGTGGGCAGGAGATAGAGCAAGTAGATGACTTTGTCTACCTTGGAAGCAGAATAATGAGTGCGGAGAAGGACTTTGATGTTAGGAAAGCAAAGGCATGGGGGGCCTGTCATCAGTTAAAGACAACCTGGAAGTCTGGAATGCGCAGGGACTGAAAGATCCGTGTCTTTCGAGCAACGGTTGAGCCCGTACTCCTGTACGGCTCTGAAGCTTGGACGATAAGCCAATCCATGACTAAGCGGATCAATGGATGCTACACTAGAATGCTCCGGATGGCCTTGAACATACGTTGGCCACAAATCATCAACAACAGTGATTTATACGGCAACATCCCCAAGCCATCAGCGATGATAGCCTCCAGAAGAATGAGACTGGCTGGACATGTAGCCAGGCATGACGACCTTCTGGCAAACCAACTTCTGTTCTGGGACCCTCAGCATGGATACAGGAGACCGGGGAGGCCCCACCTTACGTTTCTGGACATGCTAAAGAAGGACACCAGCCTTTCCTGTGTTGAAGAGATAAGATCTGTTATGCTTGACCGCGACGTGTGGCGAGGAATTGTAGTTGCTCGGACCAAGAAGCCGACTTAAGTCAGTCATAATATCATAATAAAAAACCCACTGAAAGTGTTTATTGTTTCAAAACATTGGCTCTCAAACCTCCTGTCCCAAGACTTTGTGTCCGCGTTTTGAAAAATATTCGCAGATTTTCTAGATATAGTTAGGTCTGCATTTTGGGCATTCTAGATATCTGGGATAGTCTGTCAAAGGTACTGGATCCTATTTAATAGTAAACAGCGACTTGCAAGAATCAAAATATATAATATATAATATATAAGAATCAGAAACTACCCAACGACCTGCTAAGGATATGCAGATAAACGAACCTGAGGCCACTGCGTTATTTGAGAAACCTGCTCTTCAGTCAACATCACTGCAATAGTATCACCTGAAAAAGGAAACTCTTTCAAACCAAAATAAGTGCTTCCATTCTGCCGATTTTTTCACTTTAAAATGATCGGTTTGGACCCTTTTGCATGAATGGACGACATTCTTAATTCCGTCAAACTGTACACAGACAAGACGGGAAATACAGCTTTTTGGCATGGTGAAAACAAAATTACTTAAATTGGAACTGAAAGGACTTAATATCCTTCGCCTTTAAGCAATAAAGCACAAACTGCACAATGAAATAAAACATTGTCTGAAACAATGCTGTCCATCTGACAATTTGCATTTCCGCGGCCCAGAAAGGGTGATAGGAGCCTTACCCCTAAGTTCCATGCCCGAATTTTCACTCAAATTTTTTTACCCAAATAAAATTTGCCCGAATTTTCAACCCACATTTTTCGCTTCGACTGAAATATTCGGGCTAAAAAAATTCGTGAACTTGCGCACGAATTTTTTTATTTCACTCAAATAATATAGTCGCTGCGGTTGTAATCAATGCTATAATTGCATTTCGTTGTCCTAAATGTTTCTGGGATTACCTAACGCATATCATCATAACACTAATAATAACAACGCTATTACACTACACATCGATTACACGATTAGCCATTTTATTGAGGACCTGCAGTGAGTCATTTTCGGGTTCCAATTTCAAGAACCAATGTTTTATTATCTGATATTTAGGACGACTGAGGAGAAGGAGGAGGAGGATTGAGGAGGACTGAGGAGAACTGAGGAGGATGACTGAGGAGGACTGAGTAAGAGGAGGAGAAGGACTGAGGAGTACTGAGGAGGACTGAGAAGAAGGGGGAGGAGGAGGAGCACTAAGGACGAGTAGGACTGAGGAGGAGGAGAACTGAGGATGAGGAGAACTCAGGAGGAGGACTCAGGAGGAAAAGGAGGACTCAGGAGGAGCAGGAAGAGGACTCAGGAGGAGTAGGACTCAGGAGGACTCAGGAGGACTGAGGAGGAGAAGGACTGAGGAGGAGAAGGACTGAGGAGGAGGAGGAGGACTGAGGAGGAGGAAGAGGAGGATGAGGAGGAGGAGAATGACTGAGGAGGAGGAGGAGGAGGAGGAGGAGGAGGAGGTGGAGGAGGAGGAGGAGGAGGAGGAGGAGGAGGAGGAGGAGGAGGACTGAGGAGGACTGAGGAGGAGGAGGACTGAGGAGGATGAGGAGGAGGACTCAGGAGGAGAAGGACTGAGGAGGACTGAGGAGGAGAAGGACTGAGGAGGACTGAGGAGGAGAAGGACTGGGAGGAGAAGGACTGAGGAGGAGAAGGACTGAGGAGGAGGAGGACTGAGGAGGAGGAGGACTGAGGAGGAGGACGGAAGAGCAGGAGGAATTTCTTAAATTCACACAAAAAAGTTTATAGAAAATATATGAAGGACACTAATTTGCTTCTGCACATTGGTTGTTACACTAGTTTACGTGATGTTTACGTAATTTTCATCCTAATTTAAACTTGGGTGGTCGCAGTCTCGATCTCACCCGACGCAACCGATAGGCGTATCGATTTCCGCACGAAAATTATTTAAATTATTTGGGCATGGAACATGTCACCCGAATAAATTTGTTTCGCAAATAAAATTTGCCCGAATTATTTTACCGTATTATTTGGCCAAGGAACTAAGGGGTTACCCTCTAGTTCCATAGCCAATTAATACAGTGAAAAAATTTACAATTTTTATTTGTGAAATAAAATTAATACGGGTGACCTGTTCCATGCCCGTATTAATTTGCACACAGTGATCGATACGCGTATTACTATTGGTGGTGTCGTCGTCGAGCAAGATCAGGACTGCGGCCACACGAGTTTTAAAATTAGGATACACAAACTTAGTAACAACCAATGTAGTGTCTGGAAGCAAAATTTTGTCCTGCAATTCTATTCACTTTGTGTTTCCATCAGTTTCTGTTTGTTTTTCTCGATCAGTTTTTCAAATTTTATTGTATTGATTTTAATTTATTCTAGAATATGTTCTAGTGGTTTCATTTAAAGCAGTGATAGACGGGCGTCCAAAACGTAATTCGTGTCAGAATTGCACAACACAGAGAATGTAGATATGGTTCAAACTTAGATTTCTTTAAAGTTTTGTAACTATGTAACATTTCATTGACTAAAGAGGGTGTGGCAGTGGCACGCTACTCCCCCCTTTTTCAGTATCGTCACACGTATGAGCAGAGTCTATCTTCATAGATGAGGTTGCTTGAACTTCCATGGCTTAACTGCCAATCAAGAGATCAGGAGGGGCGAATTTGAACACGCCTCTTCTGAGGAAGGTATGGTGACTTCGTTGCTTCCCTGGAGCAACTTATCAGATTTAGAGGTGGAAAAAGCAGAACCACATACTAAAATGATAAATGTTCAAATGGAGTCGGCAGGAGCTTTGGCCAGGAAGGAGCTTTCGCAACTAACAATAACATATCTGCCTACCTTACTCGGGATTATTATGACCGGGATAAAGTGGTGGGTTTAGGGTAATTTCGCCATATTTTTCCCGAACCACATTTTCACCGGTCGTTAATAAACCCGCCTACTCAGCTTTTAGGGTTCCCAAGGGGTATGGGTGCTCATATTTTAATCGTTGTATTATATTCACTAAAGAAGACTATTGGGACACTTTTTGTAGGTTTTTCGACTTCATTTGGCTAAAATTGCAAAAAATTCACCTTTTTGCCCAATTCTTGTCATATATAATCCTTATTGTCAAATTTGATTTAAATAGGCCAATTTTTAATTTCTTAGGTATTGACTATCTCTACATAATGAAATAGGACTCAAAGTAAAAGTAACAGTTAAATTAAAACTTGAATTAATTAAAACTGATGAAAGGGATGGTCCAGATGAAGATAACGAAAATGATTACAACTTATTGGAAGACTAAACAGCTCTCCCTTTATCTTAATATCGATCTGGTTGTTACGCTTCAAATGTTAAAAATTATTTTCCATCTAGTTTGATTAACCACGAGTCATTTTTTCTGTCTACTTTCAACAATTATTGATAATTCGACTTGTTTCACAAGTTTTAGCAATGCGAAAATTTCTAAACTTGCTTATCTCTAATAAGGAAATTTACATCTGAGACAAAATTTTTGAATCTAAAATTGAAAGGTTGGACACCGGTAAAATGGCGACCGGGAAAATGTGGTGGGTTTTGAGCAATTTCGCCATATTTTTCCCGAACCATATTTTAACCGGTCGTTAATAAACCCGTCGTAATAATCCCGAGTAAGGTAACCTATTTTATCATAAGGACTGTAGTAAAGGGTGTTATTTCGTTAAAAAAGTTAGCAATTAAACGGTACACCAATATTAAAATGTTTAGTAAGTATACAACATGAACGTGCGGCGGCACAGGCGAATGAAGATAATTCTGGTGTCGATAGTTGTTCTGATGACAGCTTGTGCTCAAGTCACCCTCAACGATGTTACTCGGATGTATCGGCTCCCACCACGGTACGTAAATATATAATATGCATTTAAAAATTAAACTTGTCAAATAAAAGATAGAATATTATATTTGCACCGTTTTTTTTGCGATAATGTGCTGGGTATTATAGTTTGATGTTATTTTAAGGTACTGGGTCTGTAATTACTTAAAGTGCTGGTACTGGGTGTGGTTGTACTTAGTTTAATTTTCCCTATTTTCAGACATTGGGCCCTTTCTAAGATCAAGGGATCGCAACAGGGCTATGAACAACCAGTTTAAGGTCTTGTTCAGGCAATCGGAGGCGGAATTCAAGTCGTTTATGAGACTGACGAAGCGTCAGTTTTATGAAGTACTGGCACTTATTGAGGATGACATCGCCAAGGATAGCTCAACTTCCAGGATAGGAATATCTGCAAAGGAGCAGCTCATGGTCACTCTGCGTTATCTAGCTGGGGGAGAGAACCATAAGACTCTCTCGCTTTATTTTATGATTGGCCGACCTACGATTTCAAAATTCATCCCGAAAGTTTTGAAGGCCATCATTACACACTTGGGGCCTATTCACGCTAAGGTACCGTCATCTGAAAATGAATGGCTTGAAGTGGAGCGACGATTCGCGAATCGTTGGGATTATGTGAAAACTTATCAAATAACGGAGTAGTTCGCTGTTTATTAGTCTCATGATTGAAATACTGATATCTGGATATTATCCGGTTGGAAGAGACAAGGACAAGTGAAACAAGGAAGTTAGGAGTAAGGGCAAATTTTCGGCGTCAACGCCATCTTCAGGCTAAAATTGTTATAAATGTTAGTATGTAATAAATGCTTCTATACTAGTTAAAATGCTAAATTAAAATTACACACACTGAATACAGGTTACATCAAATGGTATTATACATTACATTGAAAATAGTGATGTACACACGTTTTACACTCTGTCCAAGTACATAATATCTACTGAACAGCAGGGTCGTGTGCTATTTGTTTAAATTTGTCTTTGAATATGTTGTAGAAGAAATCCCTTAAGCTTCTCGCACTCTTCTTTGTTATTGATACTAGGTTTAAATAAATTAATGTAGTAAGCTTCTGTCACTTTACGTTTAATGGTGCTATATAAGTTAATTTCTAAAATATCGAAGGAAATATCTGGTTCTATGTTATCGTGAAACTCTGAATAATGAGCAGCCAACGCATTATCAGGATAGGTTAAAGGCCTGTTGACTGCTCTTCGATGCTCTGAAAATCTATCGTGTGCTGTTCTACTCGTTTCCCCTATATATAGCTCTTGACATAATTTACACGTAACTTTGTGACACATTTTGGTTTGCAGTCGTGATTTGTTGTGATGAGTGGACATATGATACAGTTTGGTATGGTGCAGTGTGGTTTGTCGTGTGGTCGTGATGAACATAAGATCTCTGAGAGTTTCTTACCTGGTGTGAATATGAATTTGACCGGTAAGTTGTGTGAGAGGGCAAATTGAGTGACTTCTTTGGAAAATGGCTCGTTGATGAATGGTAGAGTGCATGTTACGTGGTCGGTATCTTGTATGTTTGATGATGAAGGGTTATGACGTGTTGTAGGTGAGATTTCAATTTTTTTTCAATGTAATGTATAATACCATTTGATGTAACCTGTATTCAGTGTGCGTAATTTTAATTTAGCATTTTAACTAGTATAGAAGCATTTATTATATACTAACATTTATAACAATTTTAGCCTGAAGATGGCGTTGACGCCGAAAATTTGCCCTTACTCCTAACTTCCTTGTTTCACTTGTCCTTGTCTCTTCCAACCGGATAATATCCAGATATCAGTATGTGAACACTATCGGAGCTATTGATGGTAAGCACGTGGTAATGATCAAGCCAAGAAGTTCAGGATCTACATACTTTAATTATAAATAAAAGGGTCATTTTCAATCAATCTGATGCCGACTATAGATTTATAGCGTATGATATTAAAATAACTCTTAAACTTGCTATTACATATCTAGGATTTTTGTATTCAGTACATACTTTTAAGGTAAAAGGAAAGTTATAGCCAGTAGCCTGAAAAATGACAACAAATCGAAATACGTCAAAGAAAGAGAACAAATAAAGGCTCAGAACAAGCATTTTGGTGAGATCTTGCTTACTTTTCTTAATTTTATTATAATCCGATAGTTTGTCTACAATATATGTTCAATGTAAAACCGTACACATGAACATAATTTTGATGAGAAGTAAGAAGTTTCATATAACGTTATTAATTTCAGCTGAGGGCTTTTCCCAATTGAGTTCTGCACTTTTTGCGTCTCTGGCAGCTCCAGCTCCCCTCCCAGCCCCTGCCCCTGGTCAGAGTGATCAGTTCTCTGCATTTGGGGAAACAGTAGTGCAGAAGTTGAGAGCAATGGAGGAAGACAACGCTCTTGGTGCAATGGCGCAAATTTCGGCCATCATATTTGCCCCTAGGGCCACCAGCAGCTATCATAACATGTAGACTAACTTATTATGTAAACTAACTTATTTTCATTTTTTTTGTCTATTTTAATCATAAAATTTTGTTTGTTTCACTTGTTGGACTGGAGAAAAGTGCCGGGAACAGGGTTAAGCCGGGACCGAGATTAAGACCGGTCTTCTGGACTTTCTTTCCCCGACCTCCGGTCGGCATCTAACTTTTGAGTGCGCAATCTTGCAGCTTCTCTGACAGCTTCTCCGAATCTCCACTGCCTCCACATGGCGAAAGGCCTCCTTCTCCAGGCCTTTCTCTTTGACTGCAGCATCATGAGCATCTATTATCATCTATCAAAAGTTCACAAACGTTATATGAACCGTTAAAAACGCAATTCTATTTTATTTACTTAAACTACATCTATATTTCATCGTTTATTAAACTGAACTGCTCACCAAACATATGAAAGTGATCACCCTCAACGAGAGTATCTGAGTGTCTCCATAATTTTCATTTAAAGTTTTCTCATCATCTACCTCTATCGGTGCTGTGCTGATAAGTTAAATTTTTGAGCATAAATAATTCTCACCTGGTTGCGATGTTGTTTGCTAGTACTGAGGACAATAGCCATTGTTCAGTTGTTCATGTATTAATCCATAAGAAGTAATCTTTCAAAGTGATATCACTATAATCCACAGACATTATCTGAGCCCTCTACAGTCTACCCCATTTCTATTTCAGTACACATGCAGTATGCACTATGATTCGAAGGGGACCATAAAATATAGATGTGAAGGGGGCGATAAAATTGAGTTGTGCCATCTCAGTGGTCGTTTTTCGCGAAGCTACTTTGTTTCATCGCTCAAATTATAGGTATCAGGTAATTTTGATCCTGCAACCTTCATGATATGATCGCTCGCTTTGAAAATCTTAAACAATAATCTCAGAATGTGTGTTTTCTGTCTGTCTGTGTGCGTGTAATTTCCGAGCGGCTTAATCAAGAAAACGGAAACAGTTACGGGACTGATTTTTTCGGTAAAGTGCCGAAAAAACTATGAGGAAGCCAAATGGTAAAGGGTTTTTAAATCGGTCGGTGGTAAGTGGTTTAATTGATGGTTTTGTACCACAAATGTTACATAAAATAGCTTGAGCAGCTTAATCAAAAAAACGGTAAGAGTTACGAGGCTCGCTCTCTCTCCCATTACTGCATATTATGTAGCGTATATATATATATATATATATATATATATCATAATTACACTCATGAATACTTTAAATTTATTAGGGGAGGAATCGCTCATAGCTGTTTGGACTGTAGAGAGAGAGTTCATACGTTTATACGACAATGTAATGCATGTTTTCAAATATGCGGGTGTGGTGCGGAGTTAATAAGGGCTAATTTCTATTGATTGTGGTTTAAGATACTATTTTTAAAGGATACTATTGGATACGTGAGGGCACTCCGAATAGAATTGCTCGCCTAATCCGGGTTTTGACTCAGCAGATAATTACTCCTACCCTTTTTAACTGCGTCAGTGAAATCCCGGCCGAAGGCCGGGTTACACTCGTATCTAATAAACATACAGTCAGATCAGGCCAGATTCATCAACACACGTGTTTTCTTGGATAACAAAATTAAAAACGCGCGCGTAGAAACGTCCGTGTTTTGCGCCTCTTTTTATAGTTTTATAAATATCACCGCCGCTGTTTAAGACGAAAACACGTGCTCACATTGGTGAAAGCGTGAGTAATTTTATTAACAGCTGCATGCATAACGCACGGAGTTATGAATAACTTGTCAAGTACTAACCTGTGGAGCAATACTTGTCCGCCAGTTTATTAATAACTTTAGGAAGAACCGTGTAACATCGCTGATTGTACTCCCATTCGTCGATACTGCAAATGAAAATGTGACGTGTGAGGAAAGCTAGGCGGTCAACAAAGTTGTAATTTACTTTACTGATTAGTTGGTAAAACTACACTCAAGACCAAATGTGCTATTAAAAGGTGTAGATAGGCTTTATAAAATGGTTTAACTTTAATGTTGATTATTACTGCTGGTATTAGCAATAGGGTAAGAGTCGACTGTAATTAGTTAACTTAGAAAATTATGAAATTTTTACTTTTATTCAGGCATATTTAAATGCAGAGTACAAAGAATGCCGTAAATTTATCAACAGTCATATTTTAAATACAAAGCTAGTTCGAATATCAGGTCTAAAGTAATTTAGTTTACGGCAGGTTTACAGATACTGTCGTTTGTCTATATTCTTATATTGAAAATAAAGGGGACACAATAGTTAGCTTGTAATGACGTGAATCCTGATAAAAAGTGGCATAATACTTGAAGAATATGTGTACGTGATGAACTATGCCGGAAGATTTCTTAACCGTTACATACTTTAGCAGCATTGTCTAGTCTTTAGGAAATTTTAGGATATATCACATAATCCAGGAATATGAACAGATCAGCGTTCAGCGACTGTAACCATCTTAGTTCATTTACAAAGTTATTAGATGGTCACAGTCTCATGTACTGCACAAAGTTAATCAATCTCAGCATGGTATCTTACTAAAACATATCCTATTAGTAAAACAAACAACTCACCAGTTCGGTGTGACCTATGCATGTTTCTTAACCAATCAACGCTATATTGTCGTTTCTTTTGTGCTCGAACGGGTAGGTTAACATTTATCGGACGCTCATTTATAGATTTAAGTTGATAATGGTATTCTTTTTTACATTAATACAGTTTATATTGATATTTGATAATCCGGTTCTAACCAAGTGGTAACCTTATTTGTACGAACCTGGTAACCTGGTAAACTGGTAACCTTATTTGTACGAACCTGGTAACCTGGTAAACTGGTAACCTTATTTGTACGAACCTGGTAACCTGGTAAACTGGTAACCTTATTTGTACGAAAACAAAATACCACAAATTGGGTTTAAACCTTATATAAGGGGTCCTTCAAATATTACGTAGTCAGTTTTTGGACAATTTTTACCCCCCCCCCCCCACCCTTCCGTAATCAACCTTACAAATTGTGTCAAAATTACACTAGCGTAATCATTTTATCCACCTTTTATCTAATATTTTATTACCTTTCACCTCATCAGCGCGCATTCTTCAGACCCTGTGTACATAGAACTTTTACAAATTTGTAAAAGTTCTATGTACATTTTCTAGTAGCGTTATCGTATTCATACATGTGTGCATATATTTATATTTGATTGTAATTAAAGATTTTGAGGCGTTAGTGCCGAGTAATGCCTCCGGGTAGTGCTCCTCATTCCTCGATTAATCATCCTAAAACCCTCATCCTAACCATATGATGAACTTTAACCCTAAACCTAACACCAACATGAACACTAGCACGAGCCAAATAGCACATTCCAAAGGTAGGAGATAAGGTTCGGGGGATGAATGACCTAATGACCACAGAAAACAGCGATTAGACCAGACCACTTAGCCGCATAAAAGCTGTCGACTGTTGAATTTTGATGCATGTTTTTATCTTCTGTTTATGCGAACTTTATTTTAAGTAATTATAATAAGTTATAATAAATATAATAATAATGATAAATAAATAAGTTATAATTTACAAGAGATTTTTTAGCTCGTTCATTCATTCTATGACTCGTTGTTTTTGTCATCAAAATTACCTGATAGTTTTATGTGAAAGGTAAAACTGTATCCGTTCGAATTTTTGTGATCACTATTAGTTTTTAACTCTTAAGACAACACGGTTTTGTTAATGAACGTTCATGCACAACCCAATTGATACCTTTCACGGACAATCTTGCACTTGCACTGAACAACAGATCCAGGACTGATATAATATGATTTGATTTTGCGAAAGTTTTTGATAGCGTTTCGCATGACCATGACCTCATTTTAAGTAAATTAAAGAATATTTTTAATGTCGATGGACTAATGCTTAAATTTATTAAGTCCTATCTTGAGGGGCGACAACAACAAGTAGAGATAGGAGGCCAAACGTCTTCCTCTCTTCCAGTTCGGTCTGGTGTCCCTCAAGGTTCTATACTTGGCCCTATATTGTTTGTAATATTTATAAATGACATGTTCTCCTGTGTCTCCGAAGGCACCAATATAAGGCAGCAATATCGCCCTTTATGCAGATTACACTAAAATTTGGAGGGAGATTTTTGGTTACCCTGACCATCACATAATTTAAAATGACATCAATAGATTGTATGATTGGTCAGTGAGAAACCGAATGAAGTTCCACCCACAAAAGTGCAAAGCCCTCTCTGTGTCCTTGCAAAGAAACGTGCTGGATAACTTGCCATTCAATACCTTCTTCTATAAACTTTCTTGAAGTGATATTGACTTTGTGCCCTCTTAGTCAGATTTAGGAGTCGCAATATACTCAAGGTTTAATTGGGGAGTACAATGTAAAGCGCTTGTTTCCAAAGCTAACTCCAGACTTGGACTACTTAAGAGAACATGTCATTTCACTACTGATAAAAGGCAGAAAAGATTCTATTAAGCGTTAATTAGGTCTATATTTGAACATTGTTCTGTCATATGGTCCCCTCAAACTGCAACTCATCTTCAACAGTTTGTTGCTATCCAAAAGAGGGCCATTAAATGGATCAATGGTGAACCGTACTCCAGTTATAATGACAATAAACTTGCTACAGAGCAAAAGAAATGAAATATTCTCCCTGTTAAACAGAATTTTATTTATAACAATCTTATGACCTTCTATAAAATAGTGAATAGCACAATTCCAGTTTCGCTCCCTACTTATTTAGTCCTATGCCATCCAGAGGGAACCCGATACACTATACTAGGCACAATGCTCAAATAATTGATAGGTCGGATACTTCAAATTATATGAGTACTACTGTGCCCTGCTCGATGCCTTCCGAAATAGCTTCTATCATAGATCAATGCTGAAATGGAATAGTCTACCAGTATGTATCCGGCAGTCAGAGCGGATTTCTACTTTTGAGGCCAAACTGATCAAGTACCTCTGGGCTGCCGATACAGTCTGGCCAGATTAGCTCATCAGTCTTATGAGTCTCAGAAATGTGTTTTTGTTGGTTACAATTCTGTCCGTCCAATTTCCTATCCGCTTGTCTTTTTTCTTCTATCAGTTGTCACAGAATTGTAATGAATAAAATCCTTATAATTATTTATGATATGTTTGATTTCTTGTTATTGTTTGTAATTCAAATTTGGTAGACGGCCCCAACGTTAATGTGGCTCTTGCTATGTGTTGGTTCAGCCGAATTAATTATTATGTAATCAAATTTATTTTTCTCTTTTAGTTAGCTGTCATCCGGCCAAACATTAAGCAACTTATATTGCAGTACCATTTATTAATTAGTATATAAAAATATGTCATTGTAATTTTGCATGGCTAAAATGTAACGCTTGATTTATATATATAAAAATTAATTGAATTTTCAAATAAATAAAAAAGACCCTCTTTTAAACACAAGCATTATCTGTTTTGTGGCCACATGCGTGTTTTCCAATATTTCCAAACGTTATCAAATTGCTGAAGAAACGTAATCACATTGCCTTATCTCTAATTCCAATCATCAATTTCTTCCTCTGCCGAATTCAACACCCCTGGTTCATCCTAAAATACTTTCACTCAAACATGACTAATTATACTGAAGTAACACCAGTAGTCAGTTACTGTTAAGAGGTTACCCTTCAGTCGGACAACTTGGATAGTTGAACTCTACAACCAGTCTACTGTATTGTGCAGGCCCGTCCATAATAAAATAAAATTACTCACGCTTTCACGTGAGCACGTGTTTTCGTCTTAAACAGCGTCGGTGATATTTATAAAACTATGAAAGAGGCCCGTCCATCACGCACACTATTGTCTTATTGAAATCATCCTATCAAAATATAATGCATATATAATAAAGATGATGAATAAATTCCGAAGAATTTCGGATAAGCGTTATACTAATTATATTTATTCAGAGTAAAACCAGAAGTCACATGATTTTAATATTCGAATTTTATAAAAAGATGGAGACGTAATTCGATCATCTGTATAGTATAGGTATAAATAACTTAATTTTACTCGTGGGAAATTTGTTTGCTTTGGAAAAATCCTACAGGAAGCTTTGAAGTTGAGTGCCCAAATCGCGGAAACCGTGTGAGATACACCATTGCAAAAATTTTTGCAGGTTCGAATGCTTTTTATTATATTAAGGCCTTTTGACCAGTATGAAGGAATAAAAAATTGCCCAAGTAATAAGAACTTTAGGTTCCGAAATATAAACCCTTCAAGTGATTTAAAATCTCTAAATAAATAAATTCCTGCTAGTATTACTAATACTAATTATTAAATGAGCGAAGCTGAACATCTCTCTAGTTTCACGCTAAATTTAGACTGCTACGGGCTACCCTGAAACCTGATTCTATCACATCAAAAGAATAGCCCGACTGTATCCTGTGTCCTTATTTTATTATCCAATTCGATTGAGAATTTGCAGAATTTCTACCACCTGTATTTCAGTTTTTCACTTATATCCTTCAACATGTTGTGTTTCCGTGATTTAGAAAATGTGCCTCAATTTTAAAGTTTTTCTTGATGAATATTCTTTGTTCGAGATACATGGTATCTCACAGATTCAACAGCAATAATTTTAATTGAAAACTTGGCTACATAATTTAAACCATGTTAAATTTCCAACATGCATCTGATTTATCAAATATCGTTTTTACATACCGTATCACACGGTAAAACTTTGAAATAGACCTCGTTATCTAGTAATGGTATTCATTAAACAGTGTTAACTGTGAGATCTCCAGATAGTTATACTGTAAGATGCTTGTTACAATATCAATCAAATACTCAACTTGCCGACCTATATATATAATATTATGTAAGATGTCTCTCTACACACGAATACCTTAGTGCAAGAAATATAGGCGGCAAGAATATAAGGCGCTAGAAATTAAGGCGGCAAGAAATTAAGGCGATATTTTTTTCGGAAAAAATACGATTTTTGATCGCAAATTTGGTTATAGTTTTGGTCGAAATAGTGTCAATTTTATTCTTTTATCAGTCTATAAAGCAAATTAAAGCAAAATAAAGCGAAATTTCCGCACAAGCTAGTACCGATAACTGTAGGACATGTGCCAATTGAAATATCACGAATTGTCTACTTTTCGATTGGTCATGGCTGCTCCTACAAAGTAAAAGTCCTGGAGGAGAAACCTGCACGTTCTCCTCTTACACAGGGCGGCTTAGAAGTGAAGTGCTCTGTAACTGCTTCATGGACCAATGAGAAGGGAATAACGCTCCTCAAGAAGTTAGTCGACGAAAAGTACAGCTTCGACAAACGTTTGGAGGATGAATCAGCTGATATTATCAAGAAGCTATTTCCAGACACGACGGAGCAAGATGACGACGACTATCTTGGTTATGGATTGCAGCTGCTGGAGATATATGACTCTGATGAAGAAGGAGAAGACGAGAATATTAATTGATATATTAATGTATTTAGACTCAAGTTAATTTATTTTAAATATGTATTTCATTGAATTCTAGCAAATAACGAAATCGACATGTAAATTTAAAATAATAAAATCACACGAAAATTTCTTATGAAAAAATCGCAAGAAAAAAAATTAAGGCGGTTAGAAATTACGGTGGTCAGATATTAAGGCGGCAAGAAATTAAGGCGATTTTGTCAGAATCGCCTTAATTTCTTGCCGCCTATATTTCTTGCACTAAGGTATACCGTAGAAAATGTTGTAGTTTACGGCAGTGAACTCGAAATAGTACCGGGGGGGGGGGGGGGGGGTACTTTTTTGATGGAACATAACCCTAAGAGTACCCGAGGGGGGGGGGGGGGGGTGGGTGTTTTATGAAATTTTCGAAAAGTATCATGGTACTTTTTTTGTCCCAAAAAAAAGAAGGGGTACCCCAAAACATGATTATAAAAGTACTTGGTACTTTTTCATTACCAAAATGTTAGAATTGGGGTTTTCTGAAATTATACCTAGCTTGTTGTAGATCTAATCTATGGGTTTTCTGAAATCATACCTAGCTCGGTGTAGATCTAATTGGGTTTTTCTGAAATTATACCTAGCTTGTTGTAGATCTAATTGGGTTTTTCTGAAATTATACCTAGGTCGGTGTAGATCTAATTGGGTTTTTTCTGAAATTATACCTTCCCCCTTTAGGTATGATTGCAATTTCTGTAGCGGAAAACCTTAAAAAACCTTAAATTTGCACTTTATTGCATTAAGTTTGTCCAAACTTTCGCACTGTGGACCTTAAAAAACCTTGAATTTAACTGTTTTGGACCTTAAAAATGGGTCAAAAGGGGCCTTAAAAGACGTGAAAAAACCTTAAAAATGACTCTCAAAAATGCCAGCAACCCTGCTCACAAGTCACATCGAGGTGTCAGAACATCTTCAGTTTAGGAAAACTGATGAACAGGAATTTTTTGAAAAAAAGGAGGGGGTGGGGGGTCATTCGGGACAATTTCGAAAAGTACCGTGGTACTTTTTTGTTATTCCATTCGTGAAGGAGGTGGGTGGGTGGTTATTTTCAGAAATTTCGAAAAGTCAGCATATGTTCCATCAAAAAAGTACCTGCACCCCCCCCCCCCCCCCTAGTACTATAACATATTCCATCTACATAGTGTAATGTAGTATATATACTAAGTTGTAAGATATCTTACTATATATAAAGCGAGACGATATATATATATTTATCTGTGCCATTTTACTGACACCACGGCATCAACTTTAACGCGACTTTCCGCAAAAACCGTAAAAGATATACAACTGAAACTTTTTTGACTGGGTCAAATGCTTTAATGGCCTTCAAATCAGCATGAAAAAATAAAAAATTGGCCAAGAAATAGGAGTTTTAGAGCCCAAAATTTGGACCCCCAAGTGGTGTCAAAAACGCGAATTAAATAGGTAATAATTATTTTAGTCTCTTAAGTCTTGACACCACTTTAGGGTTAGACGGGTTCCTGCTAGTATATATAAATTGTAAGATGTATATATATATAAATTGTAAGATATATATATATATATCTTACAATTTAAGACATTACCATTCATCCTCTAGTCTCCATCGTTGATGGATCAAATCAACAAAATTATTAGTTTCAATACATTGAAATTATTCGACTTCCATATACTTTGTGGTTATAAGATGGGTAGGAGCTCTCAAAAATACCGATTCTGATGGAATCAGACAAAATTGTAAATTTAGGTGACTGAACGTTATCATTGTGTAAAAGTAACTGGAGTACCAGTATAAACGTGACGCCTAGAAAGGTGGAACTTGGTCAGATTAAACACTCCTAATTGTCCGATTTGAACTTGGGCGCACTAATTATGTGATTATTGTTATTATGTAATTATGTAAATCAGAGGGGACCTGTCTTCTTAACAGTTAAAGAGTTAAGTAGAAATTGCTGTGATATACCTCGCAAGCTAGGGGACGCAAAACGCCCTTCAGCTGTTTGCCGTCTACGGGAGGGAAAACTCAAGGAGGAATGTTATCGTAATTCGTAATATGATATACCCCCTAAAGAGTGAAGTAGACCATTGTAACTCTTTATCTTGCCACATCACGAACGAAAAGGCCCCCGACTTGCAAGAAGTTGATATACAATTACAACTTCGGAATTTAATAATTTTTTTAATCACATTCACCAACATTTAAAATTAAGGGTAAATTGAAGGAACTTCGACATGCCATGGTCGTCCAAACCGAAGTTATTTGATCTAGGCACTCCTTAGTCCCTGACACTCTGCAGTCTGTAGGGTAACCGAATCATTTTTTTCCCAGGATTGCCAATAATTTATCAAGAATTTTTGGAATAGTTCCTGAAGCAAACCTTGTGTGGCTGTTCGGTTTTGATATTTTGTTATAAATGAGACGAACTATATGTATTTTTAAATTTGAATGAACGATATCATTTCGATAGCTATTTGATCCTTATAAATACAGTGCAGCAAATTCATAGCCGTATATGTAATTACTGTATGTAAATTGTAAATATTAAGTTACGAAATTATTCGTAATTGTCAGTTTGAAAATATTTTGCAACATATTTGTCTTCATGATGGGGTGAGTTCAATCGATGCATCCTAATCGGTTTTGCCTGGTTTACTAATTCCAAACCATCCTTAAATTTTTCGTTATTCAAGCGAAGAAATTTTGTGTCTTTCTTACTCGCAGATTTTTTAGTTGCATTATTAAAAATAAATGAATCTTTATAATAAATTCGCCTTTGCTTTTCTAAAAGCTTTATATATATGTTTATACCTTTTAAAGCTAAAAAGCTTTCTGCTTTATCTATATCGGTTTATATTGCATCAATTTGCACCTCGTATAAATATAGAGTTTGACTAAGTCAAAGGAACAAGCTTTCAGTTTATTAGTTTTAAGCCGATAAGAAACCGCATGTCGATCGCAGTTCTTTAGTTCTTTAGCTTAGGGAAACATGTCAATTGTTAAAGCTATCATTGCTGAAACATCACGCATAGTTTAAAATGATTAATGTTATAAATATCATTCAATACTAACACTAGGTTAGGAATGTTGGAGGTTGCGAGTTCGCACATCTTTATCCGATCCTGGGTCTCAGAGGAATCCTGAAAATCGTAGATATTATTTAAGATATTCTTTAATACTACTATATATAATAAAGTATAAGAAACTTTTTTTCTGAAAAAAAAACGAGCTCATAACGAACGCGATCTTTGGGATGGCGGATGCCGAATTTTACTATCGTATTCTTAAACAGCAGGCAAGACGACTCATCATAGCGTAGTATTCCGTAGTACGTACACTTTAGAAGAGCTAACGCCTAACTTCCAAGAGCAAGTAACCTTCACGCCGCAGTAAGTTCCTTAAATACCATATGTACCGACTACCGATAGTACCACTTCCAGCTTCAGACTTCAGGGGCAGGTCCCAGACAGCTTTAATCCTTAAACGTGTTCCCTGTTTATTGATCGGATACTTGTATGTCAAGTGCGGCGGAAAGAAGGCACAATTTTAATACAGTTTTACTAAATCGCTGAGATTCTCCCAATAAGAGACTCCTTCAAAATTGTATGGTTAAATTGTCCAGAAATTAGCCAGTGAAATAATTTTGTACTCTCGTATCACTACTTCTTAAGAGATTGTCGGGACCTTCTCTTTTTGGATTTGATGACATTTAATTTGTTTACGTGTTAAAGTAATATGATCCACATATTTTCATTTATGGACATGTTAAACTTAATGTGAGGTTCAGAAAATTGGTACACACAAAGAATAGCGTGATTCAGTAAATCGATTAGCCTTACCATAAGCTGTACGTTGTTTCCATTCTTTTGATATTTTGATACAATTAATACTGCTTTGTTATATTGCTTGTTATTATTAAGGCTGTTAGGTGAGACCCCGGCAATGTGAATTTATAGCAGCTGGACGGCTACTCCAGATTTACGTAGGTGGGCGGTGTTTTAAGTGGTAAAAATAGGTGGAAGGGGTTTAAAGTGGTAACAATAGGTGGGAGGGGTTAAGAGTGGTAAAAATAGGTGGGAGGTGTTTTAAGTGGTAAAAATAGGTGGGAGGGGTTTAAAGTGGTAAAAATAGGTGGGAGGGGTTTAGAGTGGTAAAAATAGGTGGGAGGGGTTTAAAGTGGTAAAAATTGCCGTAGCAAGTGAACGAGCCTTTCATAGAAATTTTGCGTCCTAGTATTGGAAACAAATTCTTGTTCCAGTTCCAATTTAACAATTTCTGTCAACAATAGAAACCAATCAATTTATCCCGGACCAATTTATTACCATCACAGTTGAGTTTCGGAATCGGGTAATTGTCCCTATTTACAATACAAAAACACTACAGCATTCAACTAACGAACCTGCTTAGTGCTTATCCATTAATTCCCGGCAAAAATTACGACTTGCTCGGACGCGAAAATATTATTCATCATCTTCAATGGTTTAAGATATTTTGGCACATATGATAGGATTTTTTTATCTGCGTCTTATGTAGCCATTTAGCCCAAAAGTAAGATTAGCTCACCTGGTTTGTGTTAGTAGTTTTAGGAGTAAGTGAGATTATAGCCCTGCCATCCACACATCCTTTTAACGAGAAGTAGTGCTTCACCAGCTCTAAACAGGGGGTATATTCAGTTAGTAGTGCTTCACCAGATCTAAACAGGGGGTATATTCAGTAGATTCATATTTTGTTTGCCACTTATAATTGTTATTAAACACTAAAAATATCTCTGAAGAGGCTAAGTAAATTCAGAAAATTGTTATTCATTATTCAATACACATAATTATTATAATTTATAAATAACATAATTTATAAGTAACATCAAACGGTACCATAAAGCACTATTGTAAATACTGAAAATAGCGCTTGAACAAAAAGATTAACCGCTCATTAGCCTTTACTAATTACATTAGCCTTTACTAATTACATTAGCCTTCACTAATTACATTAGCCTTCACTAATTACATTAGCCTTTACTAATTACATTAGCCTTCACTAATTACTATTACTTCTGCAGACTTACCGAAGACTCTGATGTGATAGTTGGTAATAGGGTCGAATGAGCCGCTAGCTAGGAGAACCAACTTGGATATATCCGGATCAGTGCTTCCTCCTGCCATATCATCCTATACTTAATTAAAGGAAAGGTTATTTTTTAATTTACATAAAATATTTATAATACATCATATTACATATTTACGTATATATATTACGTATATTACGTATATAACTGCATTGAGCACAATTGGTGTTAGCAATAGATCTTACGAGATCTTATATTGTTACCAACGTTTCCAATGTCAACATCCGGACACGGAATTCCTACGCCGCACGGAATTCCGACCCTAAATTAAGACCACGTTAATAAAAACTTTGTTGGTGGTTGGTAATGTTTATAATGATGGTTGATTTTTTTGTAAACTTGTCTTATCATCTACTGTTTAACTCAGTCAGTTTTCATCAATCTTCTGTAATTTACAATACTTTCATTTACAAACAAGTAAAAAGGTATTAATTAAATTTCATCAACTTTAAATCGTACATCAGCAATAAGAAATTCAAAGTTTAACTAGTTTTATTGGCCTAACTATCAAATTCCCCAACCACGATGCAATCTGTAGAATAAGTAATAAGTATGTACAATGTTCGTTTAACTAAACTGCCAAATGTTGAGAAGAATAAACGTTAAGAGTAAATCAAAGCAAATACTGTTAAGAGAAAAGTGTATTCAACTATTTAAAGTTATAATGCTAAAGTATTAAATTGGTTAAATATGATATCACCTGCGCTAAAATTAATGTATAAAATGAAATCGATGGTTTCTATTATAGTATCCATGAATTCGATTGTACACACTACACAAAGTTACATTTTGATTTTCGACGACTTATTTTACCAGTCCACATACTCTTAGTAGAGTCAAAGTTCGTTCTATTATAGTTAATATACAGTATTATATTGAGGATGAGAAGCTTCATTACATTCAGAAGGGGTTGGTGTGTCCGTGTCGAGTACTCGAGGCAGGTAGGACCCTGGAGGTGGGTAACAAGGTGGAGGAGGGTAGGATGCTTGCGGAGGGCTGCCAGACTTTGGGGCCGGAGTGATATGATCCACCATATACGTCATCAAGTAATTAACATGCAAGCTTGAAGCTTATGACGTATAGTTAGTGATGTGATCCATGGATTGAATATAATTGACCTAGAAATGGGCTAGATCTGGGGTAGAGTTCATATGACAACTCTGTACAAATTAAGAAGTGAACATGTTTTAAATTGAGACAATGTATTGGTTGGTTATAAAATGATAAATCGATTAATAATATAATACTTCAGAATACAACAAATTACTCAATATTATTACCAAAGTATTTCGCAACAGCGAACAAGTACTCAATCTTTGTTTGTCGTGTAGAAAGAACAAAGGTCGTACAGAATACTGCTGGAAATCCTCTTCTTTTTGGAAGAAGTCTTTCCAACAGCAAGCCGATCCAGATGATAGTCTGTAACAACCTGTTGCTCCTTAATAGCACGAAAATATTCTTGAACAGAGGGCTTTGGGCGATCCAATTGTTGTGTTCTGCGAGGGTCTGAAGGTTCCTCGCAGAACAAAGGCTATGATTCTCACATCTCGGTCAGTCTTCCCATAAAAGAGGATAAATTGTTCGTCTCATCTCGTAGATGTGCAGGGTTATTCTGCAGCCTTCCTCTTGACCGTTGTAAGGAGTTCGAGTCTCTGTGGGGTAGCCAGATCCGAATCGTGGTTGTGTGGTTTACTTCCAAGGGAAAGAGTGTTGTCTGTTAGAGCGAGGTAGCTCATGGCAGGACATTTAAGGGATTTGTTCTTCTGGCAACGCCAAGCAGAGGAGAGGACGGTGTCATCATATTTCTTGCTGCTGTAGATATATCCGTCAGAATCAAGCACCTGTTGACATCCTCTGAAACCGTTGAGGAACTGGGAGAAGGTAGGCATGACTGTTGATAGAATGCGATACTGCTACCTTCTATCACCCAATATTTATACCTAGAACACTAGATCGGCTCACTCCCCTTGCATGCCTTTGACACGTACGTCTCACATCCCTTGATACGAGAACCCCCCCCCCCCCCCCCCCCCCCCCCCCCCTTTAGCAAGGTTCCCGTCCTTTATGTGATCTACGATTCGAGCAGTCAGATCATGTTTACTTCTTAATGTACAGCTATGTTTTACAGAATTGACATGTGAACTCTACCCCAGATCTAGCCCATTTCTGTGTCAATTATATTCAATCCATGGATCACATCACTAATTATACGTCACTAATTGGTGACGTGATCTGACCCCTCTTTGGGGGCCGGATCAGTTTCCGGTCCCAAAGTCTCCCAGTGTTGCGGAGGGTAGGATACTGGCGGAAGGTAGGCGGGTTAGATGCTGGTAGTAGTTAAGATGGTGGAGGAGGGTAGGATGCTTGCGGGTAAGTTGCTTGCGGCGGCGGTTAATTCAACTTTGATATAGTATTTATGCGCTATTGTTGAGCTTCATTTGTTTTAGTTTCAATGGTAATACTCTACCTTTCACAATTTACATAATTCTAATTGTGAAAACTACGCTACTAAACTTACTTAATTTTATGTTATTTCTTAGCAATTTAACAGATCATGGAAATTGAAATGAATATTCCACGAGTAACAGATTGCGGACTCTGGGGCTGGAGACCATCTTTCTTAAAGGTTTGGATGAAAATCTAATTTTAGGTGAAAAAATAATGTTTATTTGGAATTGGCAACCTGTTGTCAATCTATATCTGTTCAGAAAATGACAGAGTTAACACACATTCGTCATTGATTATTTATTATAAGTCAGCGAGGGTGAGTAGAAATTGTAACATTGTTTTGTTTCAGATATTCAACACTCCTAATATGTACCTGGTCCTCTTCTCCATATCCTCTTTCGCAATATCCACAACTCTGGGTATGAACCAAGTGCTGATACCCACCCTCCAGCAACTCTTCAACTTGAATTCAAAGCAAATTGGTAAGGAATCGTTGGTATAAGCTGTTTTGACTATTTTATTTAACACTTTTACTATACAAATTTAAAAAGGTTATACTGGTGATGATGAGCCGGGGTTTGAAATTTTATTTTAACACCTCCTTGAATCAAATATGAAATCATCTGTATCCCATATAGGTTTGATTCTCATCTCAAATGACTTGTCTGGTCTTGTTGTGGCGTTCATATTCGGGCATTTTGCCAGCAAAGGAAAGATGAGGTGGCTACTTTTTGGAGTGATAATCAACTTGATAGCAAATCTGTTGCAAAGTGGTACACAGCTCTTTGTCAAGGTATGAACAAATTATTGAGAACTCGATATTAAGACGTATGGTAAGTGGTAAGTATAGTGAGCCTCCAATGTAATTATTTATTCGGGTTTGAAGTCAATCTAAGAGGGCTCGTTGAGCCTTAATCATTATAATTCCTATAACACATCATACGCTTGATCCAAACAGAATGCCGTATAGTGTGTAGTTGCTGTCACAACAAGACAGCAATCCATAGTAAGTACCCTAAACAGAACTCTTTATCTCCGCCAAAAATTGTTATCTGGTCCGAATATGAGCCTTGTCTTCCCAAATTCATCCGAACTAGCATTTCGGTGTTTGTGTGCTAAAGCTTTCAGGCCTGCACATCCCTTGCCCCGTTACTTGTTAGTTGGCTGTCCTTCTACTGTCTAATTAGCAGTCAAGGACAAATTCATACACCATAATATGGGCATTATATTTTAGTGAACTATTATAAATTTGCTGACTCTGTCAAATGTGCTAAAAATTTCTTGTTTCATTGAAAATTTCTCATTGATAGTGGCATAATAACATTTGTTAATTGTTCTAATAAATCCTATAATTGTAAATAGTGGCATAGTATCTCAATAATCTCAAATGAGCAACTTATCATCTTAGCTTCCAGAACCATCAAACAACGTGACGACATCTATAATGGGAACAAAGGAAGAAACCCTGGCCCTCTGTACCCCGGGTGGGGGAGATGACATATCAATCAACCTCTCCGTGGTGGACTCAATGTTTTATGCTGTTCAGAATAATAAATTGTTCTGGATCCTCTTCTTGGCAGGAATATTGCAGGTAAAAAGGAAAAATATCAACAACAAAAATTGAGCAGGCTAGTAACCATCTTATTTAGATGAATGAATTTTCCTTTCAACGTATCATAAAACATAACAACTATTAACATTTTCTATATCTGAACAAAATTACCTCCAAATCAGGGTATAGGATCACCTCAAGCAATTTGTGGTTTGACATATCTAGATGAAGTGATGACAAAGAAGAAACTTGGTCCATCTGTCGCTGTTAATAATGTCATCAATCTGCTAGGGTTTTCAGTATCTTTTGTGTTTGGAGCATATCTCCTGACACAGTATGTCACCTTGGGTACACCCCCAGATGGGGTGACACTGGGAAGTGGACAGTGGGTGGGCGCATGGTGGATGGGGTATCTAGCACCTGGAATCTTGCTTGCTCTTTCTGGGATACCTTTAATACTGTTCCCTACGCAGATGCCAGCAGCCAAGGTTTGATGGGGATATTTATTTTAAGTTCTATGTAAACAAATAGCACCAGAGAAATTTTATTTTTGAAATTTAAAGTTAAATATACTGAAAAAAATAAAGCAAACTCAGTAACATTAAAGGCAGTTCTACAAGAGAAGATAGATAGCGGGGAGGCAAGTCAGCAAGAAAAGGACTCTGAACTGAACCGATCATTCAAGGAGCTTATAAAGGACTTGTTACCCACTGTGAAACGACTTATGAAAAACAAGGCTCTACTATTTCTCCTAGCAGGAGAAGCTCTTAACAACATCTTTCTCTCGTCCATGCCATATGATACTAAATTATTATCAGACCTGTTCAAGTAAGTCGGGGGAAAAAGTATCGATATGAAAAAAAGACACTTCCACTATAATTGAGCTTGAGCGTAGTGAAATTTTATGATCACGTTTTAATATCTCCCGCTATGGTTTAACAGTGCATGTGATTGTAGCACTACTTCGATACTAGCTCACCTTCTACCAATCATCTGTCGTTATATTGTCCACCTGATCTCAGGTAAAGCTGCTCAAAAATATCACCACAATCATTATGCACATGATGAGTCATTTCTTCATTTGCTTACCAAGTTACCAACTATTTTTATCGAAACAATTGATTGAGGTTATGATACATCATATGCATTAGACATTTTAAATGAAATTAATATCAATACCGTGATATCTGGAACAATACCTAGAGGATTCTAGAACAGTTTCATCACAGGATATCGTATTCAGAAACGGGGATGTTTATTGGGATTTTGAGAACAGTTGGCACAGTCGTAGGATTGGCTCTTGGTGGACTTTACATGGGAAAATTCAACCCATCAGGTAATGACTGTGTACTTAAATGGAATTTTAAATGACACCACACACTTTTATTTGGCGGTGCTGAGTTTTAAACGTGGATGATTTGCCGATTCAATTTAACAATTTTTAAATATTTAGTTTTAAGAACTGGTAAATTGAATGCAAAATTTCGATACAAGATTGTAATCATTTCAAAGAGAAGTTAGCACCATTTACACACAAATGTTAGTGGACTTATGTGTAAAATAATTTATATTTATTATTTAATATGGCCCCTCTTATGTTCCGGCGAGCAATTTTTACCTAATGCAAAATTCAGTGGACTATCATCAACGGTAGTCATGATCATTCATTGCCATATTATTATCCAGGAAAAACGTGTGTGCTGTTCGCAGCAGTCACCCAGTTTGTAACCCTGGCTGGACCATTCATGTCACTGTACCACTGTAACACTGACATTGTGGCTGGTATAACAGTTCCCTACCCAACTAACCCTTCTTTGGAATGGAAGTAAGAGCAATCAATCTGACAATTTTTGAAATTGAAATCTCATTGAACTCCTTAACTTAAGCATACTAGCAATTATTAAAAATCTAAAACAGTTGTACAGTAAAACATTCACCCCAGCAAGGGAAGCAGGAACTTGACAGACATGTGCAATGGTATATGTAGTTGCTCAACAGATTTCTACGAGCCCGTTTGTGATCTGGAGAATATGATAACCTACTTCTCCCCCTGCCATGCTGGCTGTTCTTCATATAACGTAACTTTTAGCTCTTTATTGTAACTTAAACAGTTCTTGGTAATTTGAATGTTTCATACTTGCACCTCATTCATTAGAAACTGCTAGATTATTTATGTTCCTTAATATATTGCAGGAAAGTAGTGGGATCTATCAGAGTTGTCAGTGTAGTCAGGCTGATTTAGTCCCAGGGGCCTGTCCCGCAGAGGATTCCTGTTCGACAAAGAAATGGACTGTTTTCATAGTCCAGCAATTACTTGGGGTTATAATTTTTATTAGTCAATACCCTGCTGTAAATGTGGCATATCTTAGGTGAGAAAACTTGCTTGGCAGATATCGAATTTGTAAAAAGAGTAGACTAACACAATATGAGGTTTTTAATTCCTCATAAATTTCCTCAAAGATTGGTTTAATTCTACAAAGGAGAGACAATTGTGACCTGATTTTTACCCTGGCTAAATTTTGATTACTAATCTTTAACGATTCCCAGAGTGGTTCCCGAGATTGACAGGTCAGCGACACAAGGCATGAAGCAGTTCTTTACACGTGGGTTTGGGTTCCTACTAGGACCCATTATATTTGGAGCTATCATTGACAACTACTGCGTAGTGTGGAGAGGTGGAGGAAGCTGCTGGCTCTACGATCTCCATGAGTATGTGTACCAAGACTGTTTCTTAGTTCTTACTTTTTTAAAGCATGGCACTAGTTAAAGTATTAACAGTTCATATTTTTAACTTTTATTGAAATGAGTGAATGACACCACCACAGATTATTTTATTATGATAATTCTCACTGTCGTTTGGCAAACTACACACATCAAAATTGTACAATGCAGTGGCTGAGAAGTGTAGACCATGCATGTTATAGTGTCACAGGGGCCATCATGAGTATTTTTGAGAATTCTTGAATTTGAAAATGTATAAAAAATTATTTTTGAATCGGAGAAATTCAGCATGGATTTCTCAGAACCCTGATGTCTTAGTGTGTGCAGCTACATGAAGTCCCGAAGAAACAGCTGAGGAGCGATTTTTTAAAAGTTTAAAGAACATCCAAGGCATGATATAGACTAACAAATGCCATTTTATATTTGCACTTCTTTAACCACTGATGCTAACCTAATTTCAGTATGATAGTGACGTTTACGGTCAGTCAGTTGGGATTCCGCATAGCAGGTGCTATCTGCATGTTTATTGCATGGAGACTGTACCCAGCACAAGCTGCTTACACGTATATCAAAGTTGATGAAACAGCTAAACTCTAGAATATGATTAATAACCTTTAACTATAAAACACATTTTGAACCACAGATTGTTGCATAATTTTTAGAGTAGACTCAATTTCAGTTCAGATGTCATTGTTTGAATTTTATGGTTTATTCGATGGAAAGTTGATCTTTACAATCGAAACATTGATGGACTTTGAAATTACTTTAATTTTTAATTTCAATCAGATTTGACAGCGAAACTTTTGTGATTCAGTTACTATTAGGGTGCATCTACATTGTAGTGTACTGTAAGCATAGACTATACTTTAATTTATTTACAAGCTATGATATTTGTTACACATAAATTCTATTATAGAAATGACAGTATCTATCATCATTATGTTTTGTTTGCTTTCTCAAAGATATATGCATGCTTTAAGAATAATGATTCTAGTGTCAAGGAGCAAGATTAGGGGGTGCATATATTCTAATCAGATTCAGGGATGTACTAATGTTTATTTACTCAAAATGATCACTTGATTTTGCTCTGGACTGGCTCATGTAAAAAGTTGATAAGAGCTATATACATACATACATGAAGAGGTCTCTTCCTAGTCGTTGGAGACGGAGTTGGCAGTGGAAAGGGAACCTGTTAAGCAATTCAATAACTTTTTTTTATCTGAGTGCCAACATTATGGATCTTGACATCAGGATCCAGCGTGCCAATGGTGTGTTTTACCAGCACTGTACTCTGGAAGATATGGACCACTAATCACTATCCTGTTATAGAGAGCTGAAGTTTGGAACACTACCAGAAAGCAGATGAAGTTGTTTGAAGTTTTTTATTTGACCTCCCTGAGAAGAATCTTGAAGGCAAAGTCAATGAAACAATAAGTTTTATTTTATATTCCTTTAATCATAAATAAAATAAGAGCTTAAACCACGAAGTAGTTAACTAAAAGTAAACTTGAGTAAATCTTCTTTGGTGATTGTATATAATTATTTATTAAACTTTATTTTGTTGTTAGTATTTTTATTATGGCAAGTGGTCGAATTTAGTGAAACAGGTCAGTTTTTCTCTAGTCTTAGAAAAATTTCTACTTTACAGTAGGCAATGCTGAGTGGCAGGAATGAGGGACCAAAACGCTTGGGGCGAACAGCCTGGCTGACGATAACAATAATTCCACTCTAGAGGATAAATCATTCATAATTCCTGCCGATAAGCACTAAAACGGGCCCATCTTAGTCTATTTATTGGTTAGCGTTAGGTTTAGGATTAGGAAATCAAAATAACGGGTGTTATTTGTAGGTTTACAACCTACCAGGACGCGCACCGAGTTGGACTCGTCGACGGTCCAATATATGGCCTGGAACAGATATCTTACGAGTATCACCCGTTAAGGTGTTATTTGAAGTGGAATAGATCGACATGGGCTCAACATAGTGGCGCCCCTTCCTGCCTACTGTACTTTATATCAGACAGAACTCACAGCCATCAGAGAAGCTTGCAAATTCCTTTCAACTTATACCAATACACACATCATCATATGGACTGACAGCCTCTCCTCTATACAAGCTCGCATTGGATAAGGATTGTAGGTTTACAACCTACCAGGACGCGCGCCGAGTTGGACTCGTCGACGATCCAGATACCTCTCGACGGTCCAAATATCTCGGTCGATGGAACAGATATTTTACGCATTACGAGTATCACCCGTTAAAAGAAGGATAGAACTACTAAACTAGAAGCAGTGTATGTAAAGTAACATAGGTGACCCAGCAAAAGTTACTAGCTGGTGGTGGTATATTAGAGCGGTGGTTTAATTTAAACAGACGGCTAGACCTCGCGCTCGACATTAAGCATGATTTGCACGCGTGGCGCATTCCAATCTTCAAGCAGTCAGCACGTGACACAATTCAGCCAATCAGAGTACAGGAATCTGCATTGACGGATGTTACTCGTCTAAATTTCTTCGAAGTAGCGCGCGCGCCGCTTTCTTCTCGAAATGGCCCGACGGCAAGTGCTACGAAGTAGCGCGCGCCGGGCCAGACCATTAACAACATTTCAAGAATCTGTAAATGTTCTCCCGGGGGTGGGGGGGACGTTATTTTTACAAGACGAACATGTTGCAAAAAACCGGAAATCTTTAACTATTTTACTTTCAAAGTTAGGCCCCATCCATTAAGGGTTTCTGAGGATAGGTGATAGACAATATGAAATTACATGTATCCCATGGACTTATCAATTGAGGTCTAGTGGTGGTGTCATCGTTTGTCGTACTCAAAACGTTTCGCGGAATGACAGGCTGAGCGCGGGCCAGTAATTGGTAATGGCGCGCTTACCTTGTACCTGGGGACCTCAGGCTATTTTACCTGAGGACCCCAGGCTATTATGTTCATTAACATAAAGATTTGGCGGAATGACAGGCTGAGCGCGGCCCAGTAAAGGCTATTATGTTCATAAACGCGCCCGCCTCATAATTGCGCCCGCCTCACGACAGTAAAAAGGGCTCTAGCCATCAACCCACCTAACGAGCGCTCCCGCAGTGGTGCGAAAGCGGCTCTTACTAAAGGGCCTTTTCACAAGAATTTTCTTAAAATTTGGGCGAGCGATTTAGTAGGAGCGCGCGAAAGCACATGGTTAGGTGAAACTAATCTGATAAACTAAACTATCGAATAAATTATCAAATATAGGTTCGATCTGATAAAAACTAAGATATTTAATAATCAAAAACATTACATCAAGTGGTTAAAAATCGATCTGAAGCTCGGCTTGATGTATCTGCTAGAGGAGTTTGGACTCCATTTGATAAGACCTTCTTGACATAAGGGTTTCACACCCCAATTGCTTATCAAACAGGACAAAAACTCTTCAAGAAGTATACGAAGAGAACGAGAAAGAGAAGAAGGACGAGTACTTGGAGAGAGTGTTGAATGTGGAGAAGTCTACCTTCACCCCGGCTGTATTCCTCACATCTGGAGGAATGTCTAAAGAGTGTAAGCAGTTCGTCAACAGAGTAGCAGACCTCATTGCAAGAAAAAGGAAGGAAAGGTACTGCGATGTAGTAAGACACGTGAGAACTAGGATAAGATTTGCAATGTTGAGAACAACTCTTATTGCTCTACGAGGGTACCGAGGAAAGAAGGTGGACACCAAACGTGAGATTCAGCTATCAGAAGTTTCACACAACCTCATCCCTGCCCCTATAATGGAGTAGATCATGTGTTTTGTTAAAATGTTTTTGAAAAAATTATTAGTAGCAATGAATTGTGCTCTGCCAATTGCAACACTTAAAATTTGATTGTGCTCTGCCAATTGCATCACTTGATTTAATTGAATGTATATATATACTGTTTGACATTAATAACAATCAAAAAATCGATCTGAAAGCTTTTCAGCTTATAGTTCAATCATGATAGTAATAGTAAGTAATAATAATAATAATAATTTATACTTATAGATTATAGATTATAGTGGAACAACAACTTAAAATGCACAGGTGTGCCACGAAAACAAGTCAGGATACAAGAAAACCTGAAAAGCAATCCACATTTAGGTTCCAAACCATAGAAAATTGTAAAGACTTGATACACTAAATTACAAGGTTAAGGGTATGCACTTAACAGTAGAAACGTTGAAAAAATAGTAAATTAATTTATATCATAAGCATGTTTAAAAAGAAACGTTTTCAGATACACTTTAAAAGATTCCAGTGACATGGAAATCTTAATTTCAAGAGGCAGCTCATTCCATAATTTAGAGCCAACTTTCTGAAACGATCTTTCTCCATACTGTGAATATACTCTAGGTTCAGTCAAATAGATAAGATGAATATAATTGGCATATTTAAACATATTACTTAAATAATCTGGTCCCATACCATTAAGACATTTATAGACAAGAAGCAATAATTATATCGAATTCTGTAACTAATAGGCAGCCAATGAAGGTCTTTCAGAGTGTCTCCTAGATGATCATATTTATATAGTCCTACTATAGCTTTAGCAGCTGCTGCAATTTGATTACTGCAATTTAGAATTATATATTATAGAAGTATATTTGTTTCAAATATTGAATGAGTTCAACTTGGCACGCATCTTGGTAAGTTATAATCCTACAAAGGTATAGATGAGCTGGCTTATTTTTATACCACCATCATTTTATAATACAATAATACCTTTGCTTCTTCGGGCTACGCGTGATAATTCCCGACAGCTTGCCGGAGGGAATTTGCGGCCAGGAAGAAGCGAAGATATTATTTGTTATAACTATTGACGGTGGCTCCTGTAAGATGTGTAATGTAATACGTGCGCATGATCCAATATAGTGTGTAATAAGTGCGCCACTGTTATTTGTTTTGAAACTTCCCACCAGCCAGTCTGAGGTGACTCGCAATATGTGCTCATAATACCTTCGGTTCCTTGCGGGAATAATCTGCAAATTATCAGCTCTCAGTGTCAACGAGTTTTAGTGCATTATATAATTCCCGGAAATAACTTTACAATACAATATACTTCAGAACTTCATTTAGGTGCCATTAAATCGTTAAAAAAACTTGTAGCCAGCATTGGACCAATTGTAGCTGGTTCAATACTGGTGAATATATTATATGATATTGGTGACAATCACAATATAATTTTCGCTGTAGCAAAAACTAACCAAATAGTAAGGGATCGTTCAACTTCACATTTAATGTAATCACTGAGGGGGGGGGGGGTTTCTAAATTATTACGCTAGTGGTTATTGTAATATAGATTACACAGATAGGACTAATTGATAGTTCAATGTTTAACAGTCTCTCCACTGCAGCTCCAGAAAGGAATCATATAAAACTAAATGAATACATCTAAGCAATTATACTGTTGACTACCTGCTCCAGAACGTTCTCATTAAATGACCTCAGCTCGTTGGATAGTGACTACCCTCTCGTAAATGGGATGGTATCAAGCTCTTTGACCATGAAATAATTGCAACTGCACCTGTCCGAAACAGGATCGCAAATACTAAATTCTAACGTAATATGTGAACGGCCCCTAAACAGAATATAGTGTATAATTTTGACCAAAATAAGCATAGTTGCATTTGTACATGATCAGATGCGATAATCATTAAGTTGTTGCACTATGGCATTTGAGCTTGAATATTTCGCCTGTGATAATCTCAAGTCTATTCACTGAAAACAGGCTTAGTTAATGTTATCGACAATTTTTAAACTGTATGCAGACAGCCTACCAGTACCACATACCAGAGTCAACATTTAACTTGGGTGCCACTGCCATACTTTATCGCACCTTTGCCATCTTCCGCACATATTCGCACTACTATAATTAGTACCCCTAGACCCGTCCTTTTTAGGGGTCGTTCACATATTTCGTAATCCCGGGGAGAGAGGGGGTAATTTTAACACAATAACTATGTGTATAACTGTAACTCATTCATAATGAGGGGGGGATACAAAATTTAGTAAGTAATAATAATATGTGAACGACCCCTTAACAACTATCAACTGTATTGAACATTTATGACCTTCCATAGATCATGAAATTGAGCACCAAGGGTAAGCAGTAACCTTTGCGTTCCCTGGGTTATCTGACACCCTTTGGGCTTATACAGTAATCGAATGAGCTCAGCTTTGCAGAATACTGTAATTGTATTAACCAGTAAAAATTCCACACTCGATACTTTTCATTGCATTGGTTGATGGATTTAACATCGTCACACGAACACTGATATAATTTCGGCTGCAGCAGATAACATTCAATGTAATGTTTATGTCTTGTGTGTGCAACTTGTCCCTAATTGCGTACTCTTAGACTAACCCTGGGTGTTTCGTTGCAACTTATTTTTCTGTTTTGCAACTACGACTTATTGCCATTTATTGAATCGTTGTTTGTTAAATCATCCTTCAAATACATTAAGTTTTCAATGGAATTTGTAATATCTAATTGTTATACCACTAGCTTCTAACAACTGTACTTCTGATATGGAGTAGATATCGGTTTATACTTTCTTAAATCTAGCTGGGTTAGAATTTATCAAGTTTTGATTAATTTAATGATAACTCTCTTACAGCTTATATAGCAATGTTGATATGAAAAAATCGGAGTTACCAGATACACTGGAGGTCCTCAAAGGCCTCTTCACCCTCATAATTGAGGTATTGTACCAATTCATTACGATAGCCTACTATCTAAAATACATAACTAGACTGTTTCTTGATGAAAATCCAAATTGGAGATATATTTATAATCGATTAAGACAGTTCATCTGTTTGATATCAAACATTCCAATTAAGGTGAGGAGTGCTAATCGACATTCCGAGCGAGGCCGAGAGGAGGGTATACATTGTAAGGGCATCCTAAATCCTGAAATAAAGCACACTTGTGATGCTGAGAAATCTGCACAGGTGAGAAATTTGATTCAGACTATTATCAAATTGATTTATGTTTTTGGAGTGAGACTAACGAACGAACTGAACCCCTGGCTCATTGTAATTTCAGTTATTAATTTAGCAATACCGAATTAACCGATAAAACTAATATAATATTTAATTGAAAAAACCCCACTCCCTCCCATATATTCACCCCACTCTCCCACATCTTTACCCCATTCTCCCCCACATCTTCACCCCTCCCTCCCACATCTTCACTCCCTCCCTCCCACATCATCATCCCCTCCCTCCCACATCTTCACTCCCTCCCTCCCACATCTTCACCCCCTCCCTCCCACATCATCACTCACTCCCTCCCACATCATCATCCCACTCTCCCACATCATCACTCACTCCCTTCCACATCATCACCCCACTCTCCCACATCTTAACCCACTCCCTCCCACATCTTCACCCACTCCCTCCCACATCATCACCCACTCCCTCCCATATCTTCACACCACTCTCCCACATCTTCACCCCCTCCCTCCCACATCTTCACTCCTTCCCTCCCACATCATCACCCACTCCCTCCCACATCTTCACCCCTCCCTCCCACATATTCACCCCCTCCCTCCCACATCTTCACCCTCTCCCTCCCACATCTTCACTCCCTCCCTCCCTCCCACATCTTCACCCCCTCCCTCCCTCCCACATCATCACCCCCTCCCTCCCACATCATCACCCACTCCCTCCCACATCTTCACCCCCTCCCTCCCACATCATCACCCACTCCCTCCCACATATTCACCCCCTCCCTCCCACATCATCACCCACTCCCTCCCACATATTCACCCCTCCCTCCCACATCTTCACCCCTCCCTCCCACATCTTCACCCCCTCCCTCCCACATATTCACCCCACTCTCCCACATCTTCACCCACTCCCTCCCACATCATCACCTACTCCCTCCCATATCTTCACACCACTCTCCCACATCTTCACCCCCTCCCTCCCACATCTTCACCCACTCCCTCCCATATCTTCACACCACTCTCCCACATCTTCACCCCCTCCCTCCCACATCTTCACCCCATTCTCCCACATCTTCACCCCACTCTCCCACATCTTCACCCCCTCCCTCCCACATCTTCACTCCCTCCCTCCCACATCTTCACCCCCTCCCTCCCACATCATCACTCACTCCCTCCCACATCTTTACCCCATTCTCCCACATCTTCACCCCAATCTCCCACATCTTCACCCCAATCTCCCACATCTTCACCCCACTCTCCCACATCTTCACCCCCTCCCTCCCACATCTTCACCCCACTCTCCCACATCTTCACCCCACTCTCCCACATCTTCACCCCTCCCTCCCACATCTTCACCCCCTCCCTCCCACATATTCACCCCACTCTCCCACATCTTCACCCACTCCCTCCCACATCATCACCTACTCCCTCCCATATCTTCACACCACTCTCCCACATCTTCACCCCTCCCTCCCACATCATCACCCACTCCCTCCCATATCTTCACACCACTCTCCCACATCTTCACCCCCTCCCTCCCACATCTTCACCCCATTCTCCCACATCTTCACCCCACTCTCCCACATCTTCACCCCCTCCCTCCCACATCTTCACTCCCTCCCTCCCACATCTTCACCCCCTCCCTCCCACATCATCACTCACTCCCTCCCACATCTTTACCCCATTCTCCCACATCTTCACCCCAATCTCCCACATCTTCACCCCAATCTCCCACATCTTCACCCCACTCTCCCACATCTTCACCCCCTCCCTCCCACATCTTCACCCCACTCTCCCACATCTTCACCCCACTCTCCCACATCTTCACCCCCTCCCTCCCACATCTTCACTCCCTCCCTCCCACATCTTCACCCCCTCCATCCCACATCATCACTCACTCCCTCCCACATCTTTACCCCATTCTCCCACATCTTCACCCCAATCTCCCACATCTTCACCCCACTCTCCCACATCTTCACCCCACTCTCCCACATCTTCACCCCACTCTCCCACATCTTCACCCCCTCCCTCCCACATCATCACCCACTCCCTCCCATATCTTCACACCACTCTCCCATATCTTCATCCCCTCCCTCCCACATCTTCACCCACTCCCTCCCACATCATCACTCACTCCCTCCCATATCAGCACACCACTCTCCCACATCATCACCCCCTCCCTCCCACATCTTCACCCCCTCCATCCCACATCATCACTCACTCCCTCCCACATCTTTACCCCATTCTCCCACATCTTCACCCCAATCTCCCACATCTTCACCCCACTCTCCCACATCTTCACCCCACTCTCCCACATCTTCACCCCACTCTCCCACATCTTCACCCCCTCCCTCCCACATCATCACCCACTCCCTCCCATATCTTCACACCACTCTCCCATATCTTCATCCCCTCCCTCCCACATCTTCACCCACTCCCTCCCACATCATCACTCACTCCCTCCCACATCTTCACCCCACTCTCCCACATCTTCACCCCAATCTCCCACATCTTCACCCCACTCTCCCACATCTTCACCCCCTCCCTCCCACATATTCACCCCTATGTCGTATTCTGTGACATGTTTTGTTTTATTTTTTGTTCCACCTTGATAAGGTACGGGGATAATCACATTTGATAAAATCACATTACTGTTTGTGAATTAGGGTTTTGTTCTATTCATGGCACAGGAAATATAATTTTAACCTTACAAATTTTATAATATCACGCTTGACAGCTTCACAAATCAATTTGACACTCGCCACGTTAAAACACGTACGTTTGGATACAATTCTGACTTATATTTAGATGTAACTTCATCAATCGTATTCAACATTATTCCATCGAAATACATAGTTCTATATCTCAACACTAATATATTAAAGTCACTATTGTGACGGTACATTAGAACTAGACAGAAACAAAGTGTGAACTGTGAAGTGCCTGAACGGAACCCCTCAGTTCCTTGTAACACTGCAAATATAGATTATTTATACATTTCCTAAACAAAGTACCACGTAACTCATAACTGTTTAGACCTATAATAACGAATCTAACCTCAATATACAGAAGGTAGAACAGAAGGTTCCAGGCGGACTGTTCAGCCGTAACTCTGGTTGACGTGGTAACACTTTTAGTTTTCATTATGCTTCATATGGCAATGGTTGGGCCTTCTTCGTGTACTCAATGCATAACAGATGTACACCCTGCCCAAATCTCCAGATGTACATAGAGTTCCTGGTAATGTTAGCCGTTTGGGTGGAGGCTTACATTGTACTTTACCCTAATGTACAGTGTAGGATATGTGTGTACATTGTACTTTACCCTACACACATGTCCTCCCTTTTCCTTGAGATTTGATCCCGCACTACCACACTTATTTCACACGTGGCATTTGAGGAATGTGCCACTTTACATGTGTACCAGCATCGTGGCTGTCTTCTAAAGCTTCATTATTGTTGCAAATGTTTAATAATAATACAGTTTTAACGCCACAAGATGCAGTTCATATTTTGGCACACCATAGGTTTCGGTGACGAAAGCGGTTCATGTTTTCCAACAGCAATAATTGGAACGATGCTGGTGACATGTAACTGCACTGAAATATAATTTGAATTATAATGGTGGTCTGGTTTACCAGTTTATAAAACAGTATGTAATCATAAAGCTGAGCTGACGGCGGTCTGCTTCTTTTAAATTAAACGGTCTGATGCTCTCAACACCAACATGGTATTAGTAAATATTAGTAAATGTTAATAAATATTAGTAAATATTAGTAAATGTTAGTTAAATATTAGTAAATATTAGTAAATATACATAGTAAACCATTCGTGGACCTAGCAGGTCCTTTTTAGAAACATGTTTGTAATAACTGATCATAATAAATATTGCCATGATAAATATTGCCATGATTTAAAAGGGGTGCACTATTTACTCGGGTATTTAACGATAACGTAATTTAATTGCCTTAATGAAATATACTGGTTTAAAACTAATCCTCCTGTTGGGGCCTTACTGGTATAGTGGTCTAGTGTTACCAAGTTTGTATTAGGTTTTTGATAAGATAATAATTCGATTAGAAATAGTTCTTATCGTGTACAGCTCAACAAAAGTTATGTAATGGTTGTATTTTTCAAGGCGTGCAATTGTGCACAACCCAATCCATTTATTCCATATTTAGATTTCAAAACTTATGGTGAGTAATTTTAACACTTAAGATAACTACATAGATACTGCCAAATAAATGATTTCCAACAATCTGTTATTTAATACATACAGATTATCTGTTTTAAAAATATGTAGGTTAAATTATTGAGTCTTGAACTTAAAATCAAATAATATTTTAGAATTTAAAACGTTTACAACCCTACATAACCATTACCTGTGGTGAATAAAATAACATGTTTTTTCCCGCATTAAAGTTTAAACGATAAAACGTTGATTTAAACGATAAAACGTTGAATTTTAAGAGATTGTTGAATTCTTCATTTTAACACTGGAGCACAGGTTTAGTTCACTCTTGTATTTCATCCAGTTAGGTTAACAAAAGTTAATATTATATTATGTAAATAATATACACAATACATTTAACACAATGTAGATAATATACACAATACATAACACAATGTAGATAATATACACAATACATAACACAATGTAGATAATATACACAATACATAACACAATGTAGATAATATATACTATACATAACACAATGTAGATAATCTTACTATATATAAAGCGAGACGATATATATATATGTGTATATATCCGTGCCATTTTACTGACACCACGGCATCAACTTTAACGCGACTTTCCGCAAAAACCGTAAAAGATATACAACTGAAACTTTTTTGAATGGGTCAAATGCTTTAATGGCCTTCGAATCAGCATGAAAAAATAAAAAATTGGCCAAGGAATAATAATTTTAGTGCCCAAAATTTGGACTCTCAAGTGGTGTCAAAAACGCGAATTAAATAGGTAATAATTATTTTAGTCTCTCGAGTCTTGACACCACTTTAGGGTAAGACGGGTTCCTGCTAGTATACATAATACATAACACAATGTAGATAATATACACAATACATAACACAATGTGCAATTATGTACATAATATACACAATACATAACACAATGTAGATAATAAACACAAGCCGTGATAACGCTGCATGGGGCTATTTTCTTTCCTACCCTTTGATTTAAAATAGGGTAATATGTTTAAAGTGTCGTTGTTTTTAAAATCATAACAACTCTACAACGTATTCCTAATTGGGTTAATTATCCATGACATAATATTGTTATACATCACTCCGCTTCACGTTACCATTGCAACCACAAAATAGAATTACGAATCATATATTTACGATTCCTTATTGATTTTATTTTGGTATTATTGTACAATTAAAGGTTATGTTTCTGGGGTAAATTTGCAGTGTTTCCGTTTATTGCGACAAGGAAAAGGCTCTTATCAGGATAAGGAATTGTTCTACATTTGAATCAATAAAAATTTTGCCCCAGAACAAATAATACGGATACGTTCCTACCTTACAAAATTGTACATCAAGATGTTGACATCCAATGACCGGTAAAATGAGATGGTTTTTTTACTCTATTATTATACATAAATCTAACTGAATCGGGTTTGCTACGTTATAACTTATAATATGGCAAATAGAATCACACGGCCTATAAGACTATAATTACAAAAATCCGATGGTTCAAATCTACTTCTTATGTAGGGCTAACGCATAACATATTATGGGTATTATATATGGGTATATAATATATAGCATATTGTATTATTATAATTATGTAAAAAGTAGGTATTATATTTGCATTATGATCTTTATACCACGAGTATGCCAGATGCCTGATAAACTATATAAAAGCGTCGATTTTACAAATTACACTGTCACTTAAGCCACTATAATAGAACTGAGGTTTATGCCCATATTAGGTAAAACATTTGCGCTTAGCAACCCTGTAATGCTGTCGTCATCTTTTAATTAACATGGTAGATGTTTAGCGATCAAAAAGTATTTAATTAGAGATCACAGGGATCCTGTACCAGGTTAGAAGAGATTGTGCGGTTGTTGGGATTTGCAAGGTTAAACTGTTTCAAACCTTTTACTATGGCAAAATAAGATGGAGGTGTTAAAACTTAAAGACACTCTATTAACACGTGGTGTGTTTCCTTTGAATTTAGTAAACAAATTGTGATGTTACCATCTTTAGTATGCCCACCAACCAAACGCACACTAATTTGGTTGTTAAAAGTAACTGTAAGTCACTGTAACCTTGCAAAGTTAGATGTGTATCCGTGGGTATGTTTGTTTAACTTGACAGTAATCCGTCTAAGTTGTAACTTATTTAAACTATCACATGGTGAAAAGTTTGTGGCATTATCCCAACCCGGCAGAACTTTAGCTATTTCTCCCCACGTTTCCGGCTTAAATTTTTATTCGGGTTCATTACTAATATATTGAAGTGTTTGTAGCCAACGTATCTAAGATTACACCCTTGCAATTCATTAAGAACGGTATTTTGATCAGAAAGTGCAGCATGTGCATTGTGCACTACACAAAGTAAACAAAACAGTGATTAATGTACCACACAATGTACCATAATGTACAATGTACATTAATGTACCATACAACAGCACATTATCATCCTACTAACCCTCTCCCTCAGTGTCAGCGTCTATCAGAACTAGAAGAGACCCTGACCCCGCTGCTGATGGGGCACGACACCACCATCTACCTGGACACTGTGGCCTCACATCTCTCATTTGATGGGGAGTCTACTCAAGTGTCACCTGGGGCTGAGCTGCTCCTTCTGGAACGGTGGGAGATCAAACTTGAACATGCGGGGTATGTTGCTGCTGTTATATAACTGTTTTATTAATAACCAGTGTAGTAGTTGGCACTGTTAGTCAGTGTTATTACCATGGCAACCAGTCAACTGTTGTCATGGTAACAACTGTTACTGTTAGTGTAGCCTTGCACCATGGCATGTATTAATATATATATCGACTACGGTAGATATAATAAAACTTACAGCAGGCGATATACATAATATTTACTAGTAATGTAGTAGTGTAATATGAACGTCCAGTACGTTGTTCAGTGTATCCCGGAGGCTCTAACATTGAGCCCTATATAATTACTGGATGTGGAATTCAGATGGATTGCCAGGAATTTCACGTACAGCTACAGTATTGAATCTAACTCTGTAGACTAGAGTCTTTAATTTTGTAGTTTTATTTTGATATGACGTCATGTATTTGAGTGTATTATAAGTGTATTTAAGTGTAAACTGTGTGCCAATAAACTCCAGTAATGATGCAGTGGAATGCAGGGTTACAATAAAACACAGGTAACTGATACCCTGTAACTGATACCCGCACCTTTAAACAATGTTAGCTGCAATTCCAATGATGAATTACACCATACAGCGCCATCCAAGAAATACTTCAATAAGTTCTGAGTTGTAAGCGGCTTTGTAGTATGTATAGTATACTTATTATGTATAGTATACTTATTACACTTATTATTATTCATAAGACTCGTCATGGCATCACTCAGAGATTGTTTTATTTAATTTTTACTTAGGTTCTACAGAAAAATTCGTCGAACATTCTTTTCATTCTGCTCAATAAAATTTTAAAGTATTGATTTAAATTACGCATGATTTAATAGAGCGATAAAGTTACTTTTCTACGAAATGCTAGAATTCCGGAAATAATCATGACGTTTGTTGAGTAAATGGTTATAATCTTAAGGAACTGAAGACATTTCTATTTTTAGTGCCTGACTTTTGAGTCTCTCCTCAAACTTCCGAAAGAAGCGAGTACCTAATTCAGGATTTTATATATACCTGGTTTAATTTTTCAGCAATAAAAGTGATGATTGGGTATTACAGGACGCAGCAAGGAGGGGGGAGGAAACTGCTGTTACAAGCATTACATTCACATCTACATTTCTCACAGCTATCAGCCTGGCTTTCTTCTTCTCGGGGCCACTTTCCTGCTAATGTGTCATACAGGTAACTATAATAATGTCCATGGTAACTAATATGAATATCATGCTAACCTGTGTAGTTGTCATGGTAACCAGTGCAGTGTAGTTGTCATGGTAATCAGTGTAGTTGTTTTAGTAACACATTTACTTTTTCTATCAGCTGTACACGAGTACAGCTGCTATGTTATGTTATAAATATAATATATCCACTATCCAGGCGTCAACTGTGTATCTTGCCTACCAATGTTAGCAGAATATATTACACTGTTTAACAAACCAGTCTGTCTCGATTTAACGTAACTATCTTACATACAGCCACATCTTACGTCAGCTCTCGTGTATTCAGACCCAGTAGTCAGTAGATTGTAGAATGTCTAAAATTTATTTTGATGCACAAAAATCCGCACAAATACGCACATCATCCTTGATTCTTTGAACCCAACGTCACGACTGTAATTTAAACTTGTCTCTTAATTAGTGCACAAGACCAATTTAAACGCTGAGTAGATAAGGCCGGAAGTGTGTCTCTAAGGCTGTTTGCTTTTAATGAGATGATGTTATTTACTGAAATATCGTGTATATATCATTATTGTATTAGTGCAAAGAAATACAAACGCAAACACATCAACAGGTATTGGTACGCGTCATGAAGGGTTTTGTAATATGATAAGCTTATCACTCATAATATTCGTTCTTATGTAGGCGCAAGGCATTCGTGTGCGTTTAATCGCTTTTATTACATGATTCATCAAGCATATAAATTGAAATGTTTTGGTATTACAGCTGATATATTATATTATCACAATTAGGAAAAGTCATTACGCCTTGGTTATAGCACAGATGGTTTGTGGGCGACACGAGTATTAACATTTAACCATTACTCAACACTAAGTATAAAGTAGAAGACGTTCCATTCTTCAAATTAGTGAGATAATTGAACCCGTGCAGTTCTCAATATTAAGACATGCATTCAGCATAACTCACACAAGACCACGCAAAATGTCACGACCATATCACATGATAAACAGCCCTGTTAATTATGCAATACTGTTGCAATATATCCATGTGATTATGCTTGTTTAGAAGAAATGGTATGTGTTACTGAGAATATATCCAAACTCTCATTTCAGCATCAACTCTGATGAAAATTTGGAGTTTAAAGGAACGCCCGATGAACACAGGTTTCCGATAGTGACTGTTGGGGAAGATAAATGCTTGGTTGTGGAGGTCAAGTCACTGCCCAGATCTACACTACATCTACCAGACACTAATCCAGGTGCCAATTTACAACTACTGATAACGGTATAGTTCGTTAGTGGTGAGAGTCACGCGCATAATTGGGTCAACTTATTTGCTTTGGTTACAAATTTGTTGCCGTGGACTTACGTGTCATGGAGCGCGCGCGTGACACAATGTTAGATGACTCCGCGCACACGTCAGATTAAATTTGCTATATTTGCAGAAATTTCCAAAAATAGCCTTCTCTGTTTATATCAGTGCGTGTACATACCTAATAACAACCGAGTGTGCTTTATGGTTAATTAGACTAGGATGTAAATGATAGTGACATTATAGAACAATGTTTTGTAACTGCAGCCCAATTTCAGACCAGTTAAGAAAATCAAAGGCGAATTTTGGCGAAAAGCTGAATCTCTCACCAGAGAACGGAGTGAAACCAAGGATGAAATCTCCTACCGTCAAATCACCATCCACCTGCTCGCAACAGGTCAAGAAAAGACTGTTCACAGATATGGGGACGGATCGTGTTCCAGTCAGAAATGGTAGTGGTGATGCGTGCATCTTATCACCCGGAACCAGTTTCAGAAAATATGACCCTTTGCACGACTCTGGCATATACTCACCAAACAGCAGTTACCAATCTTCTGTATCGAGCAGCAGAGGTTACCGAGCATCTTCCAGCTCTCCTAAGTTTTTCATAGGAGACGAGTCCTCTCTAGATTCTGATATATTTCCCTCAGCCAGTTCCTCCACTTTCACTCCCATATCACTATCCCCCACCCCTTACAACTCTCCTCAGCACAGCCTCACGGAAACCACGGCCCCTTTCCGCAGTACCCCCTACCCCTGGCCCCTGTCTGACATGTTCACAGTGTCCTCTCCACCCAAATTCAGCTACAAGCCACCAGTGAGACCACGTGTTCTCTCCTCATCTCCCACTCCCTCTTCCAGTCGCTCCAAGACACCAGAACCACTCGAGTCTCTCAACTTCAGTCCCATAAAGTTTGACAGTCCCATGAAATTCACCCTGTACAAGAGTTCTCAGAGAAGGTCCTCCTCGCTCTGTATAGAGGAGAAGGGGGAGGAGGAGGACGAGTTCGAAGACAAATGTCTCCCTCACAATCATAGTTACTCCTCAAAAGAAGACGTGCGAGCCAGTTGGCATGGAAACCCTTTCTTGGACAAACCCTCCTTCAAACGCAGCACAAGTCTCCCTCTGCTGTCAAGCCCAGTCCTTTACAGAAAATCTTGTTGTCGAGGTGACAGAAAAATCAATGGACGAATAGTGCTAAACGCAAATAGAAATTGTTTGCTTGGCTCATTTGAAGAGAATATCCTCAAAGACAGATTCACCCCATGTGGTAGTATTCCAGGGTTTAAATTCAAGATGAGCGTCTCAGGACTGTTTTCCTCCCCCGCCATCACTTTACCTTTTGTCGGCAACTTCTACAACTTTTCAGACCAGTACTGCCCTTCACCCTATGCAGGATGTGTAAAACTGGACACTTGTGGCACAAACGGTTATCAGCTATCAAAACAAGGTCGGATACAGGCCACCATATTCGATCCTGAAAACTCAGTGATCCGGATCTTCCTGGTTCCGTATGACGTGAGGGACATGCCGCCCCGGTCCCAGACTTTTATCCGACAGAGGATACACGCAATGACGGCTAAAGGAAACAAGACTCTTCAGTATCATCTTCACTTCAGACTCATGTCAGGTGAGCGTGTAACCTAAAGCTTCTCTCTTTTTAACAGTAGAGTTAGACTTTTATGATTACTTGCGGGATTCGCTGAATTTAAGACCCTTTAGCGCTCTTACATTTAGAGCGCTTCAAATTAAATGCAAATATCGTTTTTTTGACAGATCAAATATAGACGTGACTGAATTTGCCGGAGGTCGGCAGAATATCAAAGGCTGCTACATAGCTCATGTTAAAATTACAGTTAACGTGTGAACACGTTACTCGGTCCAAGTGTAACCGGCAGTGTAAAACTGTAAAGTTATCAAATGTCTGTTCAGTAGTAAGAAGCGTCTGTTTAAAAACTTACAAACGTTTGGGTTTCAGGAAGGTCCTCACGAGTTTACCTGCACACCGAGATCAGACTGCTGTTTGTCAGAGGAACTAGCACTATCGACAGCTCAGACAGTGACTCGGGAGGGACTGGCACGACCATGGTCACAGAAAACTGCATACCAAGCAACCCCCGCTACTCTACTATCAGCAAAACCAAAAGATCCTCCTAGCAGATCGGGTTTTTGTTGCTAACTTTAAATGTAAAAATGTGAGATACAAGTTTTGAACTCTTCTGATTAACTTGAATCAGCTCGTAAGATTGTGATTTGTTCACGGCTGCTGCTGTGTGAACATATTGTAGATTTTAATGAACCGGTCAACATCCCTGAGTAAAGCCTTGACTTAATATACCTGAAATCCGGAACCTTGCAATGCATGTAAACTATAAACATTTTAGTTTTTACCTAAGTTATAAGTAAGTTATAAGTTATTCTGAAGTTTTTTAACCCACTTCACCGGTTACAACTCCTCAGGAGTGCCAATAGATTTTAAATTTATAATTGGGCATTTTCGGAATTTCAACCCTCCACCCTCATAAAATCGCAGTTCAGCTTTTATTGTGCCCAATCCGTATCGCAATTACTAGTGCTCAAGGAAGTATCTTATTAACAATTATAACATAAAGCTTAGTTTGTTAAGGTTTTAGATTTAGCGTATTAAATGTCATGTTAATTAAGAGATTCTAACCAGTTTTAATAATTTGAAGCATGGTTTTAAAGTTTGAACGGATCGAAAATTATGGACTCCAACACTGAAATACACGCAATTTAGATTTAAAATTTAAGTATTTGGTTTGTGGGAAAATTGTTGAATTTTGTTACGTTGTGTGTTATTTTGTAAATATTTATAGATCGATAAGTCAAACTTGAAGTGATCATGGTTATGGATGTAACCATGGTAATGGTGTTCAGGTCAATAAATCATAACAGATGTTGTCAATCCCTGCTAAAGTTGAAAGAGAGGAGATTGTATTGTTTAGTGCATTTTTCTAGTGCATTGTTCTGGTGCATTGTTCTAGTGCACAGTGTCTTTTCTTAACATAGTTGTCACTGGGTGTTGCAAGAGATATTTGGTAAAAGGTATTTTGAAAGATTACCGTTATGGCTAGTGCCATTTGAAAACCAGCGGCGCCACTAATTCCTAATAGTAATATCCCACTATTTCTGTGGTGATTACGTCCGTCCCGTCGCCGTTAAGGAAATGTCCAATTGGTAAAATTAAATCCTACATAAATTGTTTCCATTTTATTCATCGAGGACTAATTGAGTAATTAGCGACGCGTCAGAAATCCCATATTCGTATTATCGCCGCCTATTAAAGTATTAAAGCTTAAGAAGACTGGTGAGTGTCACCAAATTATGCCCTCGGATAATGCCTTCAGTTTTCAATCACGAGTGCAGTGCAATATTGACAACATCCATTTAAATTTTGAAATGGAATTAAACGAGTCGGACGTGATCACTGATGGCCATTACGATGTTAATTATTATAATTATATTATATTTATCGTAAAGATATTTCAACATGTAAATTCATTATTATGAGGTATGTTAAATACTAAATTCTTGTATCTTATTTTTATGGCCTCTGGCTAACTTCAAAAGCAAAATTTTGAAATATGACAAAGTAATTTTCAGGCAACTTAGCCAAAGAAAATCCGTACTTGATAAAAATTTAAAACTCAATGTGATATTATCATAAATACATAACATTTTCTGAGTTCATTCTCATAAAAGAAATCAGCAATTAATTTTCAATGAAAGCTGGTTAATATTTCATAATATCATATTTTTTGTTCATTTGTTAATGTTCAAAGAAATCCAACAAGTCTGAAAAATGATCCTTGAAGTGACCTCTGTTTTGCAGAAATAGCGACCTATTCGTCTGTCACATTACTGAGGACAGCTACAAGAAACATATCAGGATTAAGCTTTGTCAGGGCTATATATAAGCACATAAGCCCTCGTTGGAGGTATAAATTATAATCACTTCAACATAACTAGCTTAGTCCTGCGAGTCTGGTTAAGTTTGTGGCTGAGTATGTTACACGTGATGCCCATATATGGTAATATTGTTAACTTTACCACCACATCTTCACGGTGCCGTGTGTGCTTGTCCATCGGTATAACGCTTTCTGGGGCCGCTTTCGTCAATGAAGCCTTCCCCTGACACCGATAACTCTAGTAAGATAATTGTCGCTGCCTTTAATGTTCCGTCTGGTTAGATAGATCTGATTTGGGTCAGGTCGTATGACGGTATTGTCTCGATCTCAGAGCAGGAAGGTGGTATTACCGGTACAATGCCAGTACCAGTACCAGGTGGTACAGCATGTTACCATGGTTTCCAGTAAGTATAGGGAGTAGAAGGAGCGTGTTGGATCTGGGGCGAGGAGGAGGAGTTTGTAGGAGGGTAGTAGAAGTTGTAGCGCAGGTTAGGGTTAGTTTGAACAGGGGACCCTTCGAACCCTAGCTGGCTCATACCTCCTCCGGGGGACCTCCGGTTGTACTCTAGGGAATTATATTGTTAGTGTTTTGTTTTAGTGTAAATAGTTTGACTTGGAAGTGGTTCCTCAGAATTCCAGGTGCTGCAGTGATTATTAAACAAGGGTGTTAAAATAAGTTGTTGTTCGTGTGGGACTTGCGGAGTAAGTCAGAGTTGTCAGTATAGTTGTCAGCTTTACCGCTTCTAGCTTGTCAGTATAACTACAAGTGGTTTCTTATTTTCTTGGGGTTTAAACTTTGTGAGAACGTGGTCTCAATGTCAACACTATCTTTAACTTTTCAAAATCAGCACTAATACTATCACTGGAAGCCTTTCCAATGGAAAAGTGCCATGATGTAATTTGTAAAAAATATGGAATTTCTGCTGAGTCCTGCTAGACATTCAGAAAGCATACCTTGCTTGTGGGAGACGAATTGAGCGATGTTAGCTCTGACGTTGTTGCTGAGAGTGGGGTTGTTAACCATCATCCTGTTAACATCTCTGACACTGTCTGTGTAGCCGGCTGTGTAGTTGGTGTGGTGCGGGGTCGCCCACTGCTGTCCTCCTGAAACATGGACTGTTAGCTTTGTTTAATAGATAATGGCTAGTTCATTCGATTTTAGCAGTGGCTGGTATCACTTAAAAGGTAGAGTCACTCACTCACTGTACACTGTTATGAATACAAACACGTGAAAAAGGACCCCTCTCAGATCTAATTAATCAAAACAAGATATACAATAACTGAGCCCGGCTGTGTCCCGTACCTTGTTGGTAGTAAGCGTTGAGTTGTCGTCTCTTCTCCCGGGTAGCCTGGAGATGCTGCACGGCTAACCTGAGGGGGTCCCCACCACACTCCCCGCTGCTCGGCATCACCTCCTGCAGCTTCCTCAACTTCTCCTGGATCTTCTCCTGTCGCTTGTTTGTCTTCTTGTCCTGAAGGTGCAGTTGTGATTATCATGGGTATTACAACAGGTTGAATTGTTGAAACTCTACTGTATTACGTCTGGGCTCTGATTAACCGCATGTTTTTAATCAGTCTCGGACATGACGTCACAGACAGAATGTTTTATGGTTCTCCAGAATGATGAGGTCATGAGTCTTTGTGTATGGGGTCTTTGTTTGGGATCCGGTGAGGCACACAGCTCACGAAATCCAACCACGATCTAAAAGAACATTGAGCACGTGGGCTCTATTTTCTAGAACTTGTCATGTGCCTGATTCGGACCACTGCCATACTGAGTACTCTCGCCCCTGAGTACTAGCCCACAAGTACAATGTTGTGAATTATGGTGAATATTTGCTGGGGATCAGGCTAGCAAGGATCTGACAATAGTTGTGCTCAGCAGGTCAGCGATTGAAACTTTTACTTCTCCAACAAGTCGGCTAGTGATCTTTATACCGCCCGTACAATGTACTCTTCAATACAATTGAGGCAGAGGGTCCTGGCTCTCTCTCTCTCAACTTAGTTACCATGCTCATGCTAGTTTCTTTAAACTAGGCCCCATATCATTCTACACCAATCACAATCCACTCAGAACCCGCTAAGTGAACAATTAGGTGATGATTATGAGCATTGAGTCATCGTGCACTTGTTTTTAAGAATCAGAACAACCCTCAGGGCTCTATTAGCCGTGCTCAAGAGCGAAGAGGTTCCGATTTAAATTCGATTATCACGGACAATTAGAAACAGTTATTGGTGAGAAGAGCTACCAAATTATTTAGCCCCTTGTCTCCTTCTACTCAATATTCATCACATGTCTCACCAAGGCGTGTTAAAGATGTTTCAGGTGGGAATTTTGAAACATATTTAGCAATTTGGGGGCAAGTTATTGTTAAAGAGAACAAGTACTAAGCAATGGTGGGAATGTTGAGTGTCGAGGCGGCGAAAGGGATTTGTTTTGACACGTGACACAAATAGTACATTGTACAGCTTGCTCCTAAAATCGCCCAATCTTCACAAACAATCTACAGGCAAAGAACTTGTAGGTAGGGCGCACTTCAAAGGACTCAATTTCACAGCTTAGTGTTCACGGACAACGAGGTGAGAACAAATGAAGATCACAACTCAGCGGCGGTGGTCTAGCTCGGTGTAAATCTTGAAGATAAAAGTAAAATATCTGAAAATACTTGGTATGGGACCCATGCTACACTGTGAGGCTGGGTAGATGAAGGATATATTTACCTTGACTCGAGCTCCAAAGTGCTGGTTGGTTGTCCCTATCTCCATAGAATTCTGCATGTCTAGTATCGGCCTTGCTATAAGGTATAAGAGTTGTTAGTGAAAACTGCCGAATATTTTCTCATCTAAAATGTTGGGTAAAATTAGTTGTCATTTGTAGGTTTTGTAAGAGCAACTTCCTCTACTTTTTGTCAGCTGCATTTAAAGTCGTTAGTTTGTCTTTTTTACTATAAATCTACAAAAGTGCGCTCTCCACTTGCAATGGTTTCACAGTCCGGTGTAATTGTTTTTTGAGATGCAGTCTGAGGTAACAGTCTGGTGAGTTGGTAGTCGATAGCTCCCGTTGCCATGGAAACGCAACCGTGGAGGGCTACACGATGTCCCGGGTCAGTAAGTAAACAGTAAGTAAACAGGTGAGTAAGTAAACAGGTGTTAGGCACGCTAGAATCTAGATCAAGTGTTAGACTGAGACGGTACAAATATGTAACGGTAATTCGACATGAGGAAACAAATGTTAATAAAACATAAAGACAAACGTTAGCAGGCTACAATTTGTTCAGACTGTACTGAATAGACGAAAATTCCACTGAGTAAATAGGGCCAACAAGTCTGAGAGATAGCAATTCAATAAGGCTTGTCATGCTTCGCAGGGGGTAGCCGGGTAGAATATTTCGGGGCATTGTGGCACCGGGCTCAAACAGATCGTCCAGGGGGTAACGCTTATTAATAACGGATACATTGAACAAAAGAAGGAAAAGGATGCATATTAATAATGTGTGGTGCCAAAATCCATATAAATGGAAGCTCCTCTCCGGAAAGGATCTTTAACAAAACGACAAGAAAAAAAGTAGTGAGCTGTATAAAACAGTAATACTGATAAAATAAAGTTTACAGTCTAGGGTAGTGATGACAAGTAAAGTGATATATTGCGGGAAATCGAGGCGAGACTTTTAAAAACTACAACCAGAGTAGCGAGCAACATAATGTGGGACGTAACAGCGTAAACGTTGGTAGAATAAACGCAGTTCTAGAGTTGAGGGATGTAGTGAGAGAGAGAGAGAGATGTGAATCCTTTCAAATTCCTGATAATATGGGGTCAGCTGACCTGACTCGAAGTGTAGACACACAGTGAGCACAATCTGAAGCGACATCAGGTTGTGGAGATTAGTGGACTGGAGCTAGGATCTGTAACTGTTGCTGTAACTGTGCAGATTGGTGGACTGGAGCTAGGATCTGTAACTGTAGCTAATTCCACCTAGACACGAGGTGAGCACAATCTGAAGCGACATCAGGTTTGCAGATTGTTAGACTGGAGCTAGGATCTGCTGCTAATTCGACCTAGCCCACCCATCCACCTAGGTGTGGGACATGGTGTGACAAAGGTCCCGGAAGCTATCTTGCTACAAAGTACCCAAATTAAATACGAACACAGCGGAACAGCAGCAATATTTTGATCATGTGATCTGACCCGGCAGGAAGAGGAGCAGAAAGACAATAACTAGCACAAATCAAGCAACCCCTCCTTGAACACAGATAATACCTCGCACCTTGAACACAGATAATACCTCGCACCTTGACCATTGTTATGTTTCAGCGTCAGTATGTTGGAAGCAGGTAAGAGGTGACAGATGAACCGCACGAGCGAGAATATAAATGATTCGAGATCAAGCAAGGTTGTAAGGTTGGCCCTTGAAAAACCCGGGATCAATCAAAGCCAATTTGCCGATAAAGTATGTGCTAATTTGGGCAATTTGTCAAGCTTGATAACTGTTGCTTCCTAAAACAAATGATAGCAATTAGCGAGCTCTGCCTATCAATTAACACTTAACTTGAGTATTCCTCAGGATCAAACGAAATAGATTTGGTGAGAATTTGACAAAAAGCATCCCTTTGATGGAATATAGACATTTGATTGACGTATAATATTTGTCAAACTATTGTGATGAAACAAGTATCAATCGTGATTTGACAAATCTATCCAATAAGGTCCCCATCAAATAAGAGAAGACCTGCACGATATGACTAACAAGTAACAACAACACTCGGAGTACCTCCACTTTCGGGATGATGTCGGGATAGAAGCACCCCGGTAACTGTAGACCTTGACATTCATGTCATCACGCTCTCAGACATCTACAACAGAGGCCGCCTACATTTACGCAGGTCCACGATCACACGATATGAGGTCAAGTCTCGTGTAATTTAGGTGTGGGCGCCTGCATCTCCAGTCAAATAGTTGGCTGGTGGTTGCCAAACAAGTGAAGGTCAAAGTGAGATAGGTCTGGAAATGTGTAACAGTAACACTGGGAAGAGTGTTATTGAAATGTAAAAAGTTAGAAGTGAGAATGAGAATGAGAACGAGTCTGACGAGCATATATCTAAAATACCTATTCTGATTACAAAACCTTTTAACTGCTCTGGAATAAGAAATCGGTGTTTTGTCTCATAAAAGATTCATCAGCAAAACAAATACGGTTTTGTGCCTGGGACGATTGTTGTTTTCTTTCCTAAACACTCTGAGACCCTTCCACCAAAGTCCCAGAAAACAAGTCCCGGCTAATTCGGCAAATAGGTTGCATACGAACGATACTAAAACCATTAGTCAGCTCTTATGCAGATTACAAGAGCTCCACAAGACGGGAGGGAAAGTTGTGCTCAAGAGCTGTCCCTCTCTGTCCCTCTCTGTAGGGGTCCTTATTATTACCCACGTGGCCTGTTCAACCTAGTGTCCACGATCCCCTCACCTCTCTGCCCCCACCACTCAGAGAGCAGGTCCAGGCCACGTGACAGGAGCAAGGTCCCTCATTAGCTAACAAGCCGCACAGGGCGATTATTGTATCGGGGGAGGGTGTCGTGATTATGCTGTATTAGAGTTAGAGCATCTGTAGGGCAGATCGTCAGGTGACTTGCAGGTGAGGTGAGTCACGTGGGCTATTGTTAGTACACTTATACGTATACTGTTGTATTACACACTGTACTCTACTGCCCTCCCCCTCCGATTGTGTCTCCCCGCCGAAAACTCCGTCAGTAGTGGCGGGCACTTGTCCGAACAATGTCTCCAGTACTTGTGAAGAGGGTTCCAATGGCGACATCTTCACATCAACACCGAAGTCGGATAAATTTGCATCAGCAAAATCGGGCACACACAATTGATCACGTGAGTCACTTAAGGGAATTTCTGTGCGAATTTGGGGGTTTCCTATCACATTCTTGACCCCGAATAAGTGCCACAATCGGTGCTGGGGCTAGTAATCACGGCGATAAATTTATCTGTTAAGTGGCGATGACGTTTGCATTTTGCAACAACACCAATTTAAGGAACACTTGTTAAGTTGTTATCATCGCTATCCCAAGATAGCCCTAATTATCATGAAATTGTGGGGAACAGATTCCATTATCAGAAGAACACCCCAAAACTTCTGTCACCCTGGGCCACGCCTATTTGGAAGAGTGCCAGTGTATATCATTCCTGGAAATTAGGGGTTAGCAAAACTTGATGGTTAATGAAGGAATGGGGCGAGACTAGTTTTTAAATTCACAACTTTGAAACGAAGACCGATAATCGCTATTAATTCAAAGAAGCCTGCCTAATTTTATGTAAGGTCGGGTTTCAGCCTGTATTTGATTCTTTTGACGCAGATGAAATGAGAGTTAGAGTCATGTCTTTTACGTATGAAACGCAAATTACAAGCGACTTCAATGCGGTACAGTTTTACTTGTAAAGTAGTTACCTGAGCTGTACTGGTACTTGACCCGTGTTATAAACTAACAACACACTTTGTGAGCACTTATCCATGTGACATATAAACGTGTGAAATCTTATTGCATCACAAGTGCTCCTTCGCAGAAGATGAAGCTCCTTCAGTCAGGCATGTGCCGACCAATTTTTATATTTATCATATATTGCGTTGTACGGTATGTATTATACGTAAAACTAAATGGTTGATGCAGTAGTATAAGTAGCAATAAGTGCAATAAGTGCAGTATCAAAGTACAGTAAGTCCAGTTAGTACAATAACTAACTATACCAATTATCATATTATCATGATCAAACATTAGCAGCAAGCAGACCTTACAAGCAATTAATACTTTAATTATGGCAGCTCTTAAGCCTTTAAGCTATTTTTATGTCCGCTCTAAGCTGCTTCAGTGGAGTTTTTAAACTGTGTCCAGATTATGCACTTGTAGCTGGTCGCTCCTTCAGATTATGCGCTTATAGCTGGTCGCTCCTTCAGATAATGCACTTGTAGCTGGTCGCTCCTTCAGATAATGAATGCACTTATAGCTGGTCGCTCCTTCAGATAATGCATTTGTAGCTGGTCGCTCCTTCAGATAATGCACTTATAGTTATAGCTGGTCGCTCCTTCAGATTATGCACTTGTAGCTGGTCGCTCCTTCAGATTATGCACTTATAGCTGGTCGCTCCTTATAGTTATACTTATAGCTGGTCGCTCCTTCAGATAATGCATTTGTAGCTGGTCGCTCCTTCAGATAATGCACTTGTAGCTGGTCACTCTTTTAGATAATGCACTCGTAGTTATAGCTGGTCGCTCCTTCAGATTATGCACTTATAGCTGGTTGCTCCTTCAGATAACGGATTTATCCGTTATCTGAAGGAGCGACCAGCTTTTATAAAAGTTCTTACTGCTTGTAATGGTCCACCTAGCTTAGTCGTCACTCGCCCATGAGAACTGTAAACTGAGCTTCTACAATACTGTGGAGGGTTTATACTGTTGTTTCCTGAGGAGAGGTACATAGTACACACTGAAGAGAGGTGAGAGGTCATACTAATACTAATTCATGTTGTTTCCTTGTTTCTCACATGGAAACTAGCTGTTGAAAGAATAATGGACGTGTATCAGCTGTTAAAAAGGTTACTACTTAATGTTACGGTGCATATTTAGGTGTGACAGCGCTGATTTGGGTGTCACAGTAAATATTCATGTGTTATAGTGCTGATTTCAGAAGTGGATACGCTCGGTACGCTAGCGTACTGAGGAACGGAATTTTTAAAAATTACCGGGAAAATTCGAAATCCGCTATAGCAGGCTTGAAAAAATTCGAAATCCGCTC